AAATAATTAATTTATTGTTAACAGACTAGTATAAGTATAATAGACAAACAAAATAAATTGTACTTTTTGACTATCAAATCATTTTTGAAACATATTTATGAAGCATAATATATGTTTATAGTGATGATAATATTATATTAGGTATATAAATATATAATTATAATATATTAAACTACTTTTCAACCGAACATTCGATTTTTGTTCTAGTTGAAAGCAATCAATTTTGAAAATGTTTGTTGGACACTACGTGAAAAATCACATAAAAATATTTAGAAACAACCGTTGCTGGGGTCAGATGTTTATCAATCTTATAATATGAAATTACGTTCAAGTCCTCCATGGTCATTTTTCGTCATTTTTTTCACAGAGTGACCAAAACTATTCTTAGTTTTTTCAAAGTATTTCAAAAGCAAACTTTACCAAACAAACATGAAATGTTGGCACAGAAAAGTAATTGTTTTGTGTTCAAATAAACATGACAGAAATAAATAAATAAAACTCTACTTGCGTAGAAACGTACTCAAGCAAATTACAAAGATAAACCGATACAACTTAATTGTTGTATCGGTGTAACAAGTTTGATTGGAATAAATATGTTACAACGGTATTTCAACAAAATATTTTGTTTTTGTATTGACGTGTTATATGTTTAAATACACATTGTTTCACAAACATTCTCAAATTCAACAGTAAATTCATTTAAAATTATAATGCATTTGCTCTCATTGGCTCACACAATTATTATACATAATTTTAACCCTAATTGTTGTGTTTAGCATATCATATATCTCTAATAAAGTGATACGAAACTTGTATAAAATTGAAATTCATGGTACATGCTTTATTACAGACCATCGTAGATATTATATTATAACTGTAAAAAACAACATTTAAACATAAATAATGTTTGTACGCAGAAAAACTTAAGTTTCTACGGTGTGCGCGGAAATGCGACTATACATAAACTCGTAAATGCATTTGTCGGTTTATGTATACAATATTATATATTTGCTAATAACCGAAATGTTATGCATCAGAAATAGCCAAGAGCAATATTAAACACGAATAAATTAGCATCTATCAAAGCACTGTTGAATTCAATCTCATACCTAACGACAAATATTCGCACCTTCGTAAACTTTCTGAGATTTACATAATTAAACATATCCCGGAATAGTTTTATAAAGGTAAATAAAATATAATTTGAACGTATTCGAGTATGACTTTGATGAATATTAACTTGAGTGTAATGGCATCGCTTTATCGGCCCGCATGTAAACGATACATTGATTTTGCAAAGCACTGCATAGGCCATAAAGTGCACAATATAACATTATGTTATACAGGTAATATTATATGGGTACAGTATCGATTTTCTCGTAAGACTCCAACTCTATGGAGTATGGACTTTTTACCCTTTTTCCATTTATTATTGTGTATACGCCGCAATTCTTTAAACAAATATTCGACTGAGGTAAAAGAAAACACGAGGCCTTACTTTTAGTGTTTTCGTCGTTTATTTCCGTTAGGTCACGTCAGAAAGGGGATTTTTATAAAAGCATCTGCACTAAAAAAAAACCGTTATTTTTCTATCTCTTTTATAGGCTCAAAACATTCAAGCTTCGAAAAAATACGAAATGTAAACGTACAGAACCAATTATAAGCATGACGTATTCTCGAAACTCTCTTTTATGCTGAAGCATAATAGGTGGACTCAGTAATTTTACGAAGAACTTTAGCTCTTTTGAAAAAGAAATCAAAAAAATCTAACATTTCATTCGAACATTAATTTATTTCTCGTTCTCTCAAAACAAAAAAAAACAACCCCATAATTATATGTGCCATTATTTTTGTTTTAATTAAGTATTTCAGTCGGATTTCAAAGTTTCTCTTTAGATATTTCACTGCAGGACAACAACATTTTAAGTTCAAATATTATTATATTTACAACATTTAATCATAAATTGTTCGTCATATTAATGTTTTGCTACTACTATTCGTGAAAAATGTGTTGTACCCATAATAGAGTTACGACAATATTATATTTATTTCAATCGTATTTTTTTTCTTCGTCACTATTGATCTAAAACTTCAGCAGCCGGCTAAGGCCATTAGTTTTTCCAAATGCTTAAAGACATTTTATAATAATATGTAAAATTAGATTGTATTATTTTTTTTCAATATATTTATATTATACATTATGTAAATAGAAAAATATTATTTCTAAATTTGTTTGTCCATCCAGGTATTTTTTTTGAGAAAATAGATACAAGGTCACTTGATATGTCTGATTCTATGAATTCGCATTAAAATAGGTTGATTTCGAGCTCAAACGTTGCTTCTTTATTGGATCTGAGTTCCTTTAAAATGTGTTTCGATTGCTTGTCGGTGACTTAAGAGTATAAATTCTGAATGCTGTTTTAAAATATAATATAACTAGAGCGCGGATATTTAGGTTTTTACATATTTTTATTGGCTTTATGCAGCTCTACGAGGATGAGAAATGTGGACGATTTATCCATCAAAGAGTGCGTTGGAAAAAATTTATTTTGCATATTAAAGCATATTTTGGACATTAGAGAATATTTGGCCTATTTTACATATTTTAGAATATATTCTATTATTGTTTCTAAAACATCATGTAAATTATTAATTTATCGATTTGTGATTTTTTCTAGCAACAATATTTTCTAGGAAAAAATAAATAATTTGATATAAGAACGATAAAAATAAAAAATAATTCAGTTATCATCTTGTTTGTAATCAAATTGGTAACTTTGGTTATTCTGTTCCTCTCAGTCCGTGATTGTACCCATAGAATATTGTATTTGATAACTGATAACGTGATAGGAACTGTTTTTACTTTTAAATTGTTTAACATCTTACGATTTATTTTAATTAGTTGTACATAATATTAATTTTTATTTTATTAAAATGCCAAAAATGAAACATTTAAATAAACAGTGGATAGAGCCGTATAATAAAACAAACGATACAGTATTTACGACTGATGGCGATATAGTTTATTGTCAAGTATGCAAAAAGAAGATTACTTGCAACAAAAAATCGCAACTAAAAATAATTTGTTTTTTTATATATATATATCATTATATATTTATATACCTATGTATGAATTGTTTTAAATTTTTTATATTTAAATAATTTACATGTTACCCAAAGGAATGATAGTGTATACTGTATAACTATAAAGTTATATATTGATTTTATTGAATTATTTTGAAAAAAAAAATCATATTATTAGCATATTTAAAAGTGTTAAGCATATTTAGAGAATATTTTAGGGTTTTTTTAGAGCATATTAGCATCATATTTTAAGCTTTTAAGAACCTAAAACTCCGCGCTCTAATTATAACATATATTTACATGAAATGTTTGAATTATTTTATCATAATACATTTGATACGCATATCGTTATATTCATATAATTATTTTCAAACTCAACTGTTTCGATATATCTGACAGTGTTAGAATATTTTATTTTTAAAAATTTGTATTTAAATTGTATAACTTTTATCAAAAAAATGTTTCGAACTTATTAAAGATGTATAAGGACTAAAGAGCTTTAAACATGCAAGGCTTTTGAACTAAGTACAAAAATAGTAAATATATTCCACACAATATATAATAATGTCATTACAATTTCTAATGTAGGTATGTTTAATAATTTAATATATAATACAGATTTGATATCCAATTCAACTTTTGAAATTAAAAATATAGGTTTTCGTTGGTTTTATATCGTATTTTATTTGTTTTAATGTCATTTATATTTTAAATAAAACAGTTGAGGTACCTAGTGATTTATGACCAAATTATTATCATACCAACATATAATGACAAAAAAATTAGATATTTAAATAGGTATTTTAAAACTAAAACAGTAATAAAATGTAATTTTAAAAAAAAATATGAAAGATATTATTTTTGAAGAGAAAATGTGTATAGCTATTAATTTGCATTATGTGTTCAACGCGAAATAATCTCATAACACTGAACAAACTTATTAATTAGTTATTAATTATTTACTGAATAATTCCACGAAAAACTAATTATTTTAAGTGGTCGGATAATTAATTGTCTAACCACTTTAAATTAGTATAAATATTTTTAAGAATACCGTCTTCATATTTTTTTTTTCAATTTAAGGTCATCGATATAAATAAAACAGGTACATAATAAAATACGTAATATTTAGTTTTTTCGGTTGATCAGTGTAAAAAAAACATTAAATATTCATATTTTTTTTTTAGGTTTCGTTGCGATTTTAAGATTTGGATTTATCATTTCGTGAACACAGTAAATACAATACAGTACCTACCTGTATACCACATTTGCTTAAACTAATTCAGAACTTAAATAATTAATTAATCAACGTCAGTAATTACCAATTTACTATAGAGTGCAAATACATACTCGCATACAATATATTTAAATTATGCGTGATGTTGTCTATCTAAATTAAATGATTTACTTTTTAGAAAAAGAAAAATAATAACTTCTTAGATCTCATCAGTGAAGTAAAATATAGAATATCTACCTATCACACATATAATATGGTATATGAACAAACAATGTTAGTCACATAGAATCATTTTGATTCAATTTAATCTATAGCTAGTAATCCTATATTTTAAACTCGGTCAATTAATTTTACGAAACAAATTTTATGCGAGTAATATAACCTACCTATTTTCAATATATATATATATATATTTGAAATTATATTTTTTCGAACGTTATTAATAATTAATTCCTTTTATTGCGCGTAAATAATGTTAAACATTTTGTAGTAAGTAAAACAAAATATTATCATTAGTGAATCTTAATTATTATAAAAGTCTGATAATTATATTTAATTTTTAATGTCAAAAATGACCTACAAAGAATATTTGTAATGATTTTTTGATACTATATAATACTATATGATATAAATTCATTTGAATATTATGCAGTTTTTATGTTGAAATATATTTTAAAAGTTTTCTTTTTGATTTCAGTAAACTTTGATCACTTTGAAATTTTGCGAGCAATCGGTAAAGGCAGTTTTGGTAAAGTAAGTACCTATCAACTAACAATACCCTGTGAGTAATATTATGTTGTTGTATTTAGTTTATTTTGCGTGTTGTGGTAGTAATTACAATTTAATCGACATACGCATGTAGTTACTAAATAAATACGTATGTATTGACCATATATTATATTATTAATTAAGTAAAATAAGTATATAATTTTACCTGGAAGATATTATCACGTAATGTACATAATAGAATATCTAGCTGGTAATCCTGAAAAACGATGAAAAACGATGAAAAATGTATGACGTAGTCATTTATAAGACTTGCAGTTGAATTATCATTGTGGTGAGCTCAACTGGAAAATAAACATCAACAAAACTTACTTGTTTTTTTTTTTTTTAATTTTCCACTAATGTAGAAGAATATAATAATATAGCCTGGTGCATTACTATAGTATTATTGTCTTAAAATATTACACAAATAATAGTATCTATAAATTATTATTTTAATACTATCTATTTCAATGTACTACACCGTTAAATTCATATTACAGTCGATGACATTTTATGTTTTGGTAGAGCTCAGCCCTTATCGTAGGTTGTTTAATATTTATTTTTATTTCTTCCCATTACGGTTGAACTTGTTGAATGATTTGTTGTCGTCATTTTCTTTACTTTACTTTTTTTTACTATCGATTGCAGGTTGCACACACTTTCCCAATAATTAAAAATCCACAGTATTGTAACAACCCCAAAATCATATGAAACATATTTTACTACAAATCATACTTTATGAGCTTATGTCTGACCAAACGAACCTGAAAATACTTTTCTTTTGAATAATTAGATTTTGGTATTGTTTTTGAGTTGCATGCACAATCTGACTCGAATTTACACTACAAACCAAGTACGTGGTTCTACATTACCTTAATACTTACTGCAGATACCCTAGATGTCATTAGGATGGAAAACAATTAAGAACAAAATATAACTCTAATAAGGCCTCATAAATATTTAAATAATTTTTAGCAACTACTCCAAGTATCGATTGCATATCGAAAAAAAAGACAATTTAACATCAAAAGATTGGTTTTTATTGAAAACTAGTGATGTTTTATTCATAGTCATCATTATGATATTTACACAGCAAAAACAATTATTGTAAGTGATGAATATCACACTATTTTTCTGGATTAAAAAAAAAAATTCTACCAACAACGTTGTTCATTACGGTACTTACGTAGTTTGTTGAACAATAATTAAAAACAATTTTTATAAACTAAATGTATGTCTTCAAAGTTGTTTAATTTTAGTTTGGGTTTTTTTAATAAAAATAAAAATTCAAGGATTAAAACTATAATGCATGCAGCTGAAAAAATTGTATTTGCAAGTTCCAAGACTTTAAAATAATATTTAAATGAACAATATTGTCCTCTGACATGTGACTAATATAGCACTAAACACAACTATATTACTGTCTATGACTTCAAATGAATTTTATTATAACTGAGCTAAAAAAAATAAGCTTCTTCGAAATATTGTCATTAGAATACTATATTTAGTCTTAGTTAATAAATAAATAACTTTAATAATTAAGTACTTATTTCATAAAATAATACAATTTATATGAGAAACTAGGCAAGCCGGATTGTGATAGACTGCGAGATTTAATTCTCAGAATAATTATTAAGAGGTAAAAGCATTCTTAAACGAAAGAAGTTCAGTTTTCAACGAGTGCTTGCCTGTTCATTTCATAAATTTCTAATCTCAAAAGGTTCAATTTTACGTTCATATATAGTATTCTTCTAGAATATTTTTATTTATAATAAATGAGGCTTTTCATTATTCCAAAACATGTTATTTGGCTTACTTTAAATATAGAATTAATACAAGGGTTTTAGTAGAACTATGTTCAAGATGAAAACATTGCATTAATTATCAACGTTAATTAACGATATAATACAAATCATGAAAATCGCAGCAAAATATTATTTATTGTTGAGTATAAAATAAATATTTATTGTAAGTTAAACTGATAATTGTTTTTTTTTCTATACATAATATTTTCTCTTTTCAGACTCGGAGAAAATAATTTATTATTCAGTCATCATGATTGTAGTATACAATTTTAAATCCCGTATTTTATTAAAAGCTTGGCATTATGTATTTATTTTAAAATGTAACGAATTTTGATTAGTAGTGAAGGATTATTCGTTTGTTGTAACAAGCCAAAGGAGGGGTAAACGTCCAAATATAATAATTGGTAAATTATTATTTTTCAATTAATCATTCATTTAGAATTAAATCCCCGTCGTTTTATCGTACAAAATCGACATTGTCATATTCGAGTTTGTAAAAAAAAATATACATTTTTGTTGTACATTAAGCAATCAGCGTTTGGGTAATTCATAATATTATGATAATGATATGGACGATTTTCAATTCCACCAGAATCATAAATACCTGTTAAATAAAAAGGTATTAAATAGGTACAATGTAAACTCTGCAAGTTTTATTTTCTTAACTGTAATCGGTGTACCGGAACTCTGCCAGTGTTAAGGCCTTAATTGTATAGAGCTCTGTAATATTATTATTTTATAACAATCAAATAAACTAAAAAGTTAGGAAAGAAAAAAATTACAGTGTTAGAGAAAGCTATAAATAATTCCAATAACAGATTTTTATTAAACTTAGAATTTAGAATATCTACGAATTATATCTCATAATTTTAGTTCACAGGTAAAAATTATATACTCATAGTACGTAATTCCTAGATAATTTATAATTACTACAATTATTTACTATGATTTTTTTATGAAAACACATTACAATTTGTTTGGACGAAAATTATTTTTATTATTATTTTTTGATACCTACTTTATTATTATTTAATAATGACGATAATAATTATGGTTTTATGTTATATCAATTATGTACTGTTATTTGATTTTTTCACCATTTTACCTGTAACACCAGCTTACACTAAAAAAAAGTACTTTTGGTGCCCAATAATAAACCAAAATTCTATTGCTCAGTAAAATATACAAACAAAACAGCATCTGTGTGAATTGCGTACAAGTACCGTCTACGCCTTGATCATTGACAATTAATTAAAAATTTTAATTTTAATTACACAAACATATTTCTAAATTCCTACATTTTAGGCTTTTTTTTGTTTCACATAGAACCCCTTAAACGTTTACATATAGTGGTTTTTCTATCCTAGTATATAGACCATTATGAGTTAATTAATTTGAACTTTTAAGAATAAAAACATTTTAAGATACCTGGTTATAGAATTTCTACTGAGTAAAAAGTATTCTATTAAAATTAAATATGTAGTCAATTTAGACAACATAATAAAAAGCTCATGCGCAAATATTTTAGTACTCACTATGTTGTCGCTGATTACAAATAATTATACATACCTACATAATACCGTTTATAGCAATCGCATTCCATTATGTCGAACAGAATAGCATTTTAAATTTTCTTAATCACACGATTCGTTAACAAAGTGACTTAAATTAAATTACGGAATCGATGAAAATGTTTTAGCTTAATAAATGTAAATGTGTGTTGTGTGTATATATATTTTTCCAAAACACAATTTCATGGAACATATTTCTATCCAATTTTACTTTGTCTGAAAATAATAATATAAATTATATAGTAACTTCTAGCATTTTATGGAGGTCATACAATTTGATGTATATTAAATGATATTATGTGTGTGTGTGTGTGTGTGTGTGTGTGTGTGTGTGTGTGTGTGTGTGTGTGTGTGTGTGTGTGTGTGTGTGCGCGCGCGAATGAGTTTATAAATTGACTTACAATTTATATTGAGATTAAACATAATATCATATTATAAATAATGTCTTCGTAAAATGTAATAATTTATTGTAGTTTTTGTTTTAAATGAGAAAACCTCTACACATTTTATACCGGCTTCGTAATATTGTATTATTCAATAATAATAATAATATATAAGCTTAGTATAAAATAAAATGCACTGTCTTATAAATAATTTGTATTTTGTTCATAGTCATGAAAATGTTTAACAATACAATGCATGGGTTTTTTTTTAGTAGGTACATTAAATAATAATTGTTATTATTAATTTGAATTAATATTATGTATATCTAAGTGATATTCTTACAAAAAATATGAAAAGTTACATTGATTTACAGTGTTTGTATACTATGACAATAATATATAGGTACCAAACTCTAAAAATGTTATGCATGTTGATCATAAAAATATTTACCAAGTTTTTAATATATTTTTTAAATTTAAATATAGGTCAGTGGTGCAACGCAAACCACTCTCCAAATGCTTACATTGTTGCAATGTTTCATAGTAGTTACTAGTTATGGTAAAAATAAACAATAAGTAGGTATATTGCAACATTTTCAACTGTAATAATTGTATATTATACATTTTCTATGTCATTCCATAAATCTTTTAAAATATTAAAATACTAAAAACAAACGTAACTTTAAGTTCTCTAATTAGAAAAAAAATGTAAAACTTTAAAACTATATCCTTTTTTATATAAACAAACAATACTAATGTATGGTCTTAATTTTAAATGAACATTTTTAATTTAATAACCTATTAGATGTTCTATTATTTAGTAACATATTTTGTTTTTTATGTTTTGCTGCTGAGTTATCATGGTTTTAATTTAGTTTTTGCACATATACAGTTATCGGATGAACTGCCACATGAATCAGAAAATATTACAATATATAATATTATATATTTATGTGAATAGAAAATTGTTTTACATTCATACTTTACGGTCTCTTTTTTTCCAAATAGGCTATTGGTACAAGTAATTAGTGTTTCGAATTGTTTGAGCTAAAATAAGTTCTGTATATTATGGTGATAAGATTAATTTAAGACTAGAAAACAATATTTTCAAACTGATCTGCATCCCGGATATGAAAATAATAACTTAATCTTAATTCATATAGTTCGGGGTGAATTGTTTTCAAAGATTTCCAAAGTTTTAAAATTGTAGTTTTTCAGATTCTGCTTTGTTTAACACCGTAAGGTTTTAAAAGAGTTTCTATTCGTGTTGAAAACATTTCTGAAAATTACTCAAATTGTCTTGAACAGATGGTATCATGCAAATAGTTTGATTTAAAAAAACTCCTTTATTTCTTCCCTAAATTTTAAATTACAGGATATCTCAGGATATTTAAGATTCAGACAAAAGATCAGCATTAGTCACTCATAGTTAATTATTCATGTTATTCTGCTATCACCAGTCATCACCATATGGATCCATATTATGTTGATTAAATGGTTTATTGCTGCCATTGACTGTTCTTCAGTTATAGTTATTCTATACGTGGGTCCAAAAATATTGCAGAAATAAGTGCATAATTGTTCGTTATGCGAACTTCTCTAACATTCATATTACTCAAACCTTATAACTGAACTTATAACTTTTGGGTATAAGAATTTGAAATTTTTGGTTTTGGATTTCACAGTTTATCAATGCACCATATGAATCAGTCAGTCGTTCGCTTTACAATTATATTTTTCTAATTTTGGCTAGCAAAAGTACTTCATAAATTGTTTCCTTTTAAATCTATTCAGACCTACTTAAATAATAGTTTTTTAATTTTGTGTCACTTCTTGACAATTATTTTATACAACTTTCAAGTCTAATTTTCTATTCGACAAGTCAAATGTTGAATGCCAAAGTGTATTTAAACTCAACAATTTTGCATTTTTAATCATTCTTTTATTAATTTTATATACATATAAGGTATATTATATAAGTTTAGTTTCTAAACTTGTGGACTATGGCTCTTACTTTATTTAATATTTATTTCGCAATGTTTGAATTTTTCAAAGTATCAAAAACAGCCACCTGAAGTGTATGTGCAACAATACGCATACCTTTAACCCCCCAAAAAAGTATTTAAAAGTTATTTAATTAGTTCTCCCTAAAAAATGGTCCAGTCTCCTTACCAAACTTCCCACTGAAAATTTGACATATCACAGGACGTCACTATAATAATTATGTTATTTTCATAAGAGCTAAATTATTAATTGCATCAATTATTTTTAGAAAACAATGATAATTTGAATAATCTCTTATTTGAGTCCATTACATATTTTGATAATTGCAAATGTATTTTCTATAATAAAATAACGAAATGATAAGAATATATTATAATATAGCGAATCAATGCACCTACATTCAGTCTATTTTTAAATTGGTAATAATATTATTAAACTAAGTTAGGTATTATGCATTTAGATATAACATGGTTATATGATAGTATGTTAGTACTTGTAGTATGTACTACCCATAAATCAATACGTTTAGTTTTTGGTATTTATTGTATTTGTCCCAATTTTTATTATTGTTTGTATACCTACTTGGTACTTACTCATTACAATACGGTGAAATCTACATCTGTACATGTCATTATACCAATATCTTATATTTACGGATTTTATGCTTCCATTGGTTTGTTTTCTACTATTGCAGTATAGTATTTTTCATTACTATGATAACTTACTGGACCTCACAATTTTTTACATAATACATCGTAATATCTTCAAGTGAATCTCATAAAGTATAACAATACTATAAATCTCTTGTTATACGATCCACTTATATTCACGACTTCACGAGTAAACAATTCAGAGAATATGGTTTGAACTTAAATAATATTGTACCCAACAACACATTATTGGATTGATTAAACCTAATAAGTTGTTCGATATTCAATTAAACATAAACATTCGTCTTAAACCACAATACACTAATTTATATTACGCACATGTAGTTCAAAACTAAACTAATAATTGTATTGTACTACCAACGAGTTTTTCTTCCATACATTTATTATGTTTATTTTAATATATACTTTTTAATTGAAAACGGTTGAGTACATAAAGTGCTATTTTAAAATTTAACTACTCTGACAATGATAATTACATTCAGAAAGTTTGACTTTTATGTACATTGTACATTCATTCATTATTATAGAGTTGTTTAAAAGGTCAAATCATAATTTTATTTTGTGTATTGTTATCATACAAATAATAATATAACAGAAAAAAAAAATAAGACATACATTAAACAATTTTTCTTAACTGTTTTAAACTCAAAGTATATATAGTCGGTCCCCAAGACGTTAAATTGTTTTAGAAATATAAATTTCTTCTACTTATTTGAACAGTTTGCCTACTAATTATGTAGCCCTATACCCTAGTGGCTGTTCATTATTATATAAAATAGAAACTAGTTAAGATATATAAATATTAAACTACGATACATTTTAAATATTCCGCCTACCACATTATTTATTATTTGAGTTGAACAATTGGCAATTGCATTATGATTTACGAATATGTTAAGGGTAAGAACAATTTGTGTCGCCAAAAAAAAATAACAATAATTTATTGCACGTTATACATAACAGTAGGTGTCAAACCATTATAATGCTGAGGGACTAATTATAGTTTATACAACCAGCCATTTAGTAAATATACGATATTGCGTGGTCTTGAAAGATGGCGAGGGTTCTCGAAAGCGATTTTTTTGTTGACATTCTGCTGAGTAGCCAATATAATATATCGTCACAACTCACTATATAGTGCTTCACTGCGTTTGGATTTAATTTTGATAGATTTGCACCATAAACATTTAGAGCTATTACATCACTCAAATAATGTAGGGTTGTTTTGTAGTCTACAATATTATTTGAAATATACATATAAAATATAATATTATTTTATTAAATATTTATATTTTAACATAGATAAGATTTTGAGATGGCTACACCTGTTTTTTCTAGCTTAAATTTTTTTTTTAGGCCAATGTTTTATAACACTACGTTCATTGCTAGATAAATGAAAATCAACAATAAAAGCAAAAAAATTAAAATTAAAAATTAGATTTCTAGAATGTTACCATGGATATTTGATCCACGCTATATCCAAAAACATATTTATGATTCCTCAAAAATATTTAGTATAGCATGCTACATAATATAATATTATATAAAAACATAATTGTTTTTAAGAAATTAATTTGTGAGGTTCATACTGTGTTGTATCAATTTCCTCTGTACATAATATCAAAAAACAACTTTAAAAAAACCTATTCCTGTACATCGATTCCTCGAAAACTGATTAAAAACATTAATTTCTCGTGTGAGCTGTTTATATATTATATATTGTATTATATGAAATGAAGTACTATATTATAAGTTGTGTCTGATGTTTTGTCTATAGGTGTGTATAGTGGAGAAAAAAAATTCTCGTCAAATGTACGCAATGAAATACATGCAGAAGAGTCGTTGCATTGAGAGGGATGCCTTAAAAAATGTACTAAGAGAAATGGAAATACTAACTATGCTTGAACATCCGTTCCTGGTAAATCTATGGTTCTCTTTTCAAGGTATGCATCATTATAAATATAGTATAGTAAGTCAATAATACATTATTGAGACTGAACGCTTTTCATGACATTTTATACGCTTGAACCAACCAAAATGTTTTTGAAAAATAAATACGTAGATATTACGTTTTACGTATCTACCTGAGGTGTAGGTAGCTATTTTGTGCAAAATAAACTATTGTAGACACGAATATGATTTTCAGATATTCTAACTGTGTGAGCTTATGAATAAATAATTTTGAATATTTCATCAGTACATCTGGGAATAAATTGTTAATGCGTTTGACAAAATCTCTAGAATATAAAATTCAGTAGGTACCTACGGATCATAAAGAAACTAAAATGTCCGAGATTATAATATTACATCATAAAAGCAGTTCAGTGTAATTCCTATATAATATATAATACATTATTTCGAAGTCGTAATGAACTTCTTCGAGTTCCTCAAGTGTTTAAAATTTAAATGTTGAATAAATTCCTAAATTTAGTATGAGATATTTTTGTAAGGGAGTTCATAAGAACCGTTATTTTAATTTAATTTAATTAAGATGAACGTCATACCGATTTTGGAATAGTTTTTGATCGTTGGTCAAGTCAACACCTATTTTTTTATACCTAGTTTATATTATATGTATATATTTTTTAAATAAGATATACGTTATTTGGCAGAACCCGATTTTACCAAAATATTAGATATTGATTGATTCGACTTCCCCAATAAAAAAATGTCCATACCTACAATAGTTAAAAGCTGTCATACAGTATTTTTGTTTTCGACCAGTTAATACCAATACAAAAATATTGGTTGGCGATATATTAAAAAAGTTGTATGCAAAAAGTGTACCTAAACTGAAAATAAGAACTAAGTATTAACTAACAAATCGATTTTACACAAGCACGAACCATATTTTATCATATTATTCAACATCTACCATCGAATCACAAATAAATTTTAAACTCAAATTGTAAAAGATAAGCAGTTGATGATCCGTGTTAATAGACAAAAAAAAAAAAATAATAATAATAATAATTTTAAAAGATGTTTCTCAAATTTAAAATGTAACTGAGTCATGAATGATGAAGTAAAATGACTTAGAAAAATTATTTATGACACTCGTCTTAAAGTTCTACCAGAAAATCCAATAAATATATTGCAGAGCCACATGAAGCTTTAAGTAATACAAATGCAAATACATACAACGAGAAACATCACAAAACAAAAAGTAATAACCAATTATTGCAGAAACAGAATAATTGACAGGTTAATTTCGTTTAGTGAAGTTATATCCATACAAATAAGAGGCTATGCTAGTGTAAGTGATTCACAGCAAAGTCAATCGCACCCGTGGTTCAGAAATTTGGTACGTGGATGTGCACTTCGAAGCCAATTATTGTAAATTCCAAAAAGTGGCTGACACAAGGATTTGTTGGCTCACAAAGAAAGAATATATTTTTTTTCACAGAGGGTCACCGATACTGCCATTGGTCAGGTAAAAAATGTTGTAGACCTTTTTTATATTTGGTCAGAACCACCTAAATTACAGTGTTAAAAATACGTGGAGCTTACAATATTTGACGGAGCTTAAGACAGAGTAAATCCTCTCTGGCATTATTTAATTTGGGCAATGCTGTGTAGGATTAGCTAGTATTAAGTATTTATCAAAACGAAATTTTGTTGTACACAAATAGGTATGATTTTGTAAAAACAGTATCATTCGATGTTTTTTTTTTTTTATTCTTACGATTTCAAAAAAAAAATGTAATTGTTTAAGAGTAGGTATACTGCGTTGATGAATATGATGGTATATGCATAGCATACCGTTTTGCATTATGTCGGAACATTTAAATAAATTAACTTAATTTAAGTTTTTACAGTCTATTATATTAGTATACACTATGCCAGCTTGCTATATATTTTAGTAACGACACCGGTACATAGTTCTTATGATCGTGTATTATTTTTTCAATATTAAAATGTATAATATTATCATAATGTTTTTCAATATTTTATGGTTATTTGTACAAAGCTAGAGGCATTTAATAGCACAGAAATTGTTTTAGTGAAACAAAAAAGAACAGAATCAGTCAATATCTCATTAGGTGGTGGACGGGGGCAAAATGTACACTAATTTTGGTCAAAATATATTGCACCTGAATATTTATTTAATATTTGTTCAATTTACTGAACTAAAAACAATCTAAACCTGGGGGTATTACTGTATCGATCGATAGATGTCTGTTGTACAGATAGGCTAAAAAAGGTATGTTTTTTAGAACACATGTTTAACGAACGCGTTCTTTATAATCACTACGCAGGTGATCTAATGTTTGAAATTTGACCTGTAGCTGTTATAAATTACACTATAACTATTGTAAATAACACGATATTATAGTTAGTTAAAAATATTTTAACGGACGTCGTGATATCCGATCTTTTTACTTTAAGACTTTTGCACGTCACTAGAACTTGAGTATTTGATTGCATACGTTATCGACAAAGCTGGGCTAGTTAGTCATTTTTTTCCACTAGTTAATATTATGTTACTCTACTACAAATACTAACTGAGTTAGAATGTAAGAAGTTTCTCTAATTTTTCAAATTTATAATTTCGTTAGATGGAAGTTAGTTTGATGCAAATAGTAACATTAGTTAGAGTAGAACTTAGGATTTAGTTTTTTGTGGTTAAATTTGAAGTATTAATTTAAAAATCCCTTTGTTCGAAATATGTTCAGTAGGTATTACATAAATTAATTATTCGGTATCTCAGAATCTAACTTAAAGTATCGACGATGGTAGAAAAATTGAATTGAATAACTGATAATTTGATGAAATTTTTCAACTTTCAAGTAGGTAGGTAATAGCTATAACCTTCTTGGAAACTAATTGGAATATAAGAACACAGAATGCATACAAAAAATAAGAAATATAAAAACATTAAAAACAGAATGATACTATATTTGTTTAATATGTATATCTATTGGTCATTATAGGCTTTGTGATTAACGTGTATTACAAGAAACAGGTATGACTATTTATTAGGTAAGGCATAGTTATGTATGACAAGAAAAATGTTTCTTATCAAAAAAATGAAAAAACTCAACATTCATTATTGATAAATAATAATCGTGGCAATAGATACTAATAGTCGGCACTCAGCAGTTTCACGGAAAATATGGATTTTTAGAATGAAAAAACCACAAAAATAGGTACTTAATAACTTATTGCTGTTTTTAACTTATTAGATTAGACTATTTCAGACATTAAATGAAATTATACAAAGTCTTTTACACAGTTTTATATGAATTAAGACCTACTATAGTTAAGTTAGTGCCCAGCTTTGGTTATCGATAATAATATTGTTATGTCCCCACGGAGCGACGAGTGGAGACAACGACAAATCAGTAACCATGTGGAATATCAATAACTATAGGTGGGTACCTACACTGTGTTTCAGACGAGGAAGACCTGTTCATGGTTTCAGACTTATTGTTGGGTGGTGACCTGAGGTATCACTTGGGTCAAGACGTTAAGTTTGGCGAAAATTCGATCAAACTGTTTGCGTGCGAAATTGGCTCGGCGTTGGAATATTTGCAAAGCGAGCATATAGTTCACAGGTGAGTACACACCGAAACGATTCAGTATTAAGAGCGTGAAATCATGACCGACTACGTATGTAATACTAAAAATGTACGAACCAATCATTTTGTATCAATATGCTGGTTTGTTTGGAGTGTCGATTAGTCTTTTTAATCTGGTATATAGATCGGTTGATCTGACTTACTCAAATAAATCCGCAAAAAAATAATATATCGCGTTTGGTTCTATCAATGAATGGCCTCCCTCCTCCTATAAAATTCATACCTCACCTGTATATCTTGTCATCATATTTACTTATTATGCTTTGCCGGTGTAGATGGTTTATTTTCTTAATAATAAAAAAAGAAGATCGGAAGGTTATTTTTGATATTTAAGACGTTTTTGGGTTGAACGAGTTCGCGCCCGTCGATAATTACTAAAAAAAAAAATTACATTAATATTCAAAAGGCTTTGAAAAATATCGTCGTTAACTTACTGTGCCGCCAAGCTTCGATCTAATATTTTGATCGGAAAATTAATGACGTTTACGGCGAGTACCGCAAACGATAAAATTCTACTAGGGGAGAGACGGAGAGTTATTTAGCAGGGCCTATCTCCCGGGCCTAATACAGTAATATATTGTCAATTTATCATCGATGATATTGATTTGTAACATGAGCTTATAATAATAATATTCAGAAAACCTATTTTTACCGTCTAATTTGGCATGAATATTAGAGCTAATAGAACAAAACATTGTAATCAACATCCAAACCACAGTTGTAATATTATCATAATCGTATTTGTGTTGTTTCTAGCAAAAATATATTAACTTGGTAGACGTCGACTACTCATCGACAAGCCAAATAAATGATTATTATGTTTCATATTATAATATTTGAAGTATGAGTACTTTAAAATATTTAGAACTTATATATTTTAATATTGAAATTGACGAAAATTATATGTCCCTATTTGGTATGTATTGCTACTACATTTTTTTCTTTTTTAGTAGTTTAATTTTTTTAAATATTATAACATAGAAATCAGAATATTTGTTTGATCATTTCGACGAACATTAATTAACGAAATAATATTACTTACTTATTATGAGAATTCCAAATTTATTCGAGAGGTGCAAAGGTAGCTGTAAGGGTTTCATAGAAAATCATGAAATGTACTTTTACGGTCATCAAAACTTTCAACCTTGCGAAATATAAGAATCCACTGACTCAATATTGATTGTTATTTATTTACACATGGAAATATTCTCTTTGAAATTAGTTGTAAAGTCAACAAAAGTTGTAATTGAAGAAAAAATGTGTATATTATAACATTTTATGACATTGAACTGTATTTTAAGACCAGACAATTTACTAAAAAAACACGAAAAGAGTTGTGCAACGAGTATAATATTTTAGTATTAAAAATAATTCACACCAAACACCTGGTATAATATTGCTTGTAATATTCGGATGTATGCCAAATGCTCCAAATCGGAAGGTTTTTGTTACATTCACAACTATACCCACTTTTTATCATTTTCTTCGAGTATATATTTTCACAGAACGTCTGCTTTAAGCCCACCGATTATATTGTTATAGAGTTTCTCAGTCATTAATTTCGGCTCTAACACCTAATTATATGAGTCAATACGTCTGCAACACAAGAGTGCGGTAAATTTAAGGTTCTAAAATTTTATGAAATTTATTTTTTCGAAATATTTTTGAAACATGTTATGAAACTTTTCATTTTGACGAAAAATAAAAAATAAAATTGTAATTTAAAACTATAGTAAGAAGTACAGTTAACATCACCACTTGGTTAAATTTTATATGGAATATGTTTTAAAAATACTACTTACATCGTTGCACAATTATAGAACTTACATAGAAATTATCTATTTTATATGTTATATTATCTTCTTTACATTGTGATCGGGAATTAAATACTTATCGATAATCATTAAGGGGCCTCATGAGTGCTCGCTTTTTTGTCAAAAACTACTGTTTCTAATTATTTCTAATGATACATATCGACAATTATCGAGATTTCTTAAAAATTATTCGGATTCTCCGTAATATGTATAATTGAACGATGGAGCCACATTTTTAACTGTTGTGATTCTGATTGCAATGAATTTTCGAAAATTGCAGAAAATTTCAAACTTAAATATCTAATCAACTAACAGAATTCATAAAAATGTGCCTCGTTCATGTTCTGGAAAATTAGAATATTTTTTAAAATGCAAATCGATGTAATCGTTTCAACGTATTGTTTAAATTAGAGTTGTCTGTTTAAGTGAAAAATAAATATTTTTTTCGGTGTTTGTCAATTGCGCCGATATTTCTAGATTACCTGAAATTTATACATCTTTTGCGCCGGTGGATTTATCCCAAACGAAAATGGTATACGTCTTTTGCGCCAATAAATTTATCACAAATTAATTTGGTATACATAATATATATTTGTTCTGCCAGGAACATATTATAAAATATAAAATATCAATATAAAATATCATATTATTATACTATTATTAGATTATAATATAATTATCAAACATATAAAAAAAAGTGTAATTTAAAAAAATATAAAAAATTAAAAAAATTAAAATACATATAAATAAACGATGATAAATTACATATGAATAAATTGTCAAAAAGTATTAAAATTTCATTTCTTGTAATGGTGACTTACCGACTTCACAAATTGAAACATATTGATAGTACCGTCATATTATCATGTTATCTCATTTTTATTAGCGGATATTCCGATTTGACCAATTTATTGCATGTAGATAGATAACGTATAGTATGTACAGTTTAAAACATCGCGATTTTAAATCGTCCGTGTGTAATATAAACGCAGACGAGTACGTTCAAATCGCCTAGTGTGTAATCAGCTTATTTTTCAACTTCAGTATTGCCGGCGCAATTAATGTATAATCTTTTTTGGACCTAAATATCGTCCGGCGCAGTTGATGTATAACCTTTTTGAATCCCATAATTTTTTTTTCCTTACCTGTGATTTCTGGCGCAATTGACATATACCCATTTTTTTTTGGTCAAAAAATTGGTATCTGACATATTGTGTGTTTGACACCCTTCCGTTCTACAACTATGCGGGTTACTTGTGGTTACTACTACTAATTATCATTTACGACTAATACAAAGACAAGGATAATTGCTAAATTAACGTTACCTATTCAATTTTTCTTAGAATCCAGTAGTTAGGAGGACATTTATTCAGATATGAAATCGGTTTGACCATTTTGTGATGATTTTATGAAAAATATTACAACACACAAAATTAAAAAATATATTTTTCAATATTCATTTGAAATATTTCAAGAAGGGCAAAACTATAAGTTTTAAATACTTCATAGTGAAAATTCCAAGTGAAATATTTCATGATCATAGCCCTAGATATATTATGTGTGTATGGTGTATTAGTATGTACGTGGGTTCCCACCCAATTCGTGTAGGATAAATGCCATCGTATTATTATTCCAGTGTTACCGGATACAGGATACCGGATGCGTGTAAAAAAAGAATATGCTCAGAGTGTACAAGATGTGTACCTACCTATAACGGTGCGTACGGTTACAAATAACAATATACCAGTATATACCTTACAACAATATTATAACATACATCATAAACTCTTACTATCGGAAACTCGGCTCGTCGTGCATTGGTTTAAAGTCGAAGTGAATTGGAGTAACTTGAAATTAAGTAACTTCGTCGGATGAACCTCACACGTCTTGACCGTTTGACATAATATTACTAATTAATCGAGTACCTACACGTATTGTTTTAAGCTTAAAATTATAATATATAGGTACAAGAGGTTGTATTTTTTTTCGCCAAACAGTCATTGAACGTGTATTTTATTTCTAGACAGCTACGGTTCTTTCATTGCTAAACAATTGTGTCATATTTACCGTAAGCTTACACATTTTTGAAAACATAAACAAACCTAGACATTTTCGATAAAACAGATGTATAGTCGTATGAGCATTATACAATATTATATAATCAAAGTAAGTTTAGGCAGTGGTTTGATGTAATGATTTCGAATAATTGTTCCAATGAAAAATACATTTCCAAAGGGCAAAGAGTAAAAACACCAATAAATCGATAAAACGACCGCTTTAGTGATAAAAGAACCACCGCCGTTGAGAAATAATTGTATTACGTGGTCTCTAAATCAACCGGCAAGTTTCTCGCTATTCTTTTGCGAATCCAATACTTACACATATTATTTTGGATGGCTATGGCTGAGTGATTGCTGCCACGACCCGACGAGGACGGCGTTCACGTTTGTATCTGTGTGGGTGTGCTTGGTGGCTGTGGGCAAGACGTGTGAATGGGTCGAGCCGGTGATTGATTGTGCCTCGTCTCGACCGTAGAGTGATCTCCACGACGACAAAAAAAAAACGTATTATCATCTTGCAAGAGAGTAGTAATAACCACACATTTTTTTTGATCGACTAATGCTCTAACGCGTTGAGCCCGCCATAGCGATACTTGCGATTTACCTACGTTGGTTATACCTTTATCGAGGGGTCGCGGTGAATTATTGATCGTGACGAACATTCATCGTAATTATAAAAATATTTTTTAAAAATCTAATAGTTTTTTGATTTTTGAAATTTGGTTGGAAGTACAAAATACTATGTTTAATACAAAATTCGATTTGACTGCTTATAATTTAACTGATTATATATTTGTCCATACCTTTTGACACGCTCTCTCTCTCTCTGCAGGGACATAAAGCCGGAGAATATTCTGCTGGACGAAGAAGGTAAGGATAGACATAATTATTTTAATTGACTACGTTATGAAACTTACAGGATGCAGATTGCAAGGATGAACTTTATTTGACAGTGATTTAAAATCGACTTGAAATCATATTATAATATTATTTTATATTACTAGAATGTAAAATTGTTTTCATTAAATGCGCTGACCCAGTGCAGGAAATTGCATTGTCAATTAATGTGAAACATTATTCTTCAGCAGTTTTGCTGCTGTGGCGGCATAATGTCCGATGTTAGGGATTAGAAATCACCTCAAATTTTAAAACCACTCAGTTAAAAACTTGGCTTGAACAAAATGGCATCAGATATTTCGGATAAATTCATACCTATTAAAACTAACGATTTCTTATTTCTCCAATAAGATTAAATTTAATTAACTGTAATTTTAAAGGCATGTAGGTTTTTATCCCGATTGTTGAGATTTTGATTTTACTTGCGAAAGAAAGATTTTTTACACATTAGTTAATGTAATAACTTAGTGTTTAAAGTTTAAGACTTGATTATAAATATAAAGACTCAAACATCACACACTTGGCATATTATTGCAGAATACTGATTGTAATCATGAAATAGTTTAATGACCTACATAAAACTGGGTCTTGTTTCAAATGTTAATCATCAATGTATTCTACGAAATAATTAAAGTACACAGAGAATAGATACATTAAAAAATATTCTCTGCCCGAAATTCAATTTTATTTTTTATTTTAATACAAGCGATTGTCTGTATCTCTATAACCTTTATGTTGTTCAGTTGTATAAGATTAACTAATTAAACTACAAAAATACTCAAAATAAAAATTTCATAAATACATATAAATATATACATTTTATAATAAAATTTAATTCAAAAATCAGCTTTTTCAAATAATATTAGTTTAGGATATTATGACACAATTTGTCGAACTCTGCAAGGTTTTCATCGTACAACAAATATTTTAATATTATTGTAATGAAATGATTGACTTATTTACAACTTTATATCTTAGTATTTTATTTTATAGGTCACGCACACATAACTGACTTCAATATAGCAGCTACACTACATGGTAAAAAATTAGCATCGTCGTTGTCCGGCACCAAACCTTATATAGGTACATATGAATTGTTTATATAATATAACCTTTTTTTTATGTGTATTATTATTTTGATGTTTTTTAATTTATACTAAAGTGTCATTACAATATTTGTAATAAGAACTGCATAAAATATTATACTTTATTTTTTTTTTAAGCTTCGGTAACTGAGGCCATTAGCTGTAGGTTGTGGTACTGTAGGGTTTTGGGACTGTAGGGTTTTGGGACTGTAGGGTTATGGAACACGTGTGTGTTTGTTTGGCAGAATTTCTAGTGGGCCCCCGTAGGTTTCTGCCATGTCCGGTTGGGGGAAAAGTGCCACCCGTGACCGAGGTTCGAACCGACGACGGTGCGCGCTGCAACCGACGCGTTATCCGCTCCAAAATATTATATTGTATACCTATCGTCGTTATACTATCATGATATAAAGGATTATAAATACGAAAATATCAACTCGTAAATAAGAAATTATTCACTTATCATTACATGATACAAAATAATAATTAAAAACGGAAAATAAGTAGGAATAATGAATTCAATAACAATAGAGTAAAAATATAAAATTATAATTTTTTTCTAAAAATGTAGATTTAACTATTATAAAGTTATAGCAAATTCAATTTACAATTTATAATTAAAACAAAGTATCTACTTTGGAAAGACCTAAAATAAATCTGAAATATTCTTAAAAAATATCGAATAAAAAGGAAAACACAGCACATTTTAATAAAAGTATTTTAAAAGAAATCCACTGACAAAAATACTACGAGATCGATTAAATAAAAATAAACACAACGTTAAGATGACTATGTAAACAATATGTAAATACTGTTAATTAGCTAAGCAAATAACCATACCAATTAATGTGAATGTAAATATAGTTGTAGGCTATATGACCTATCTGTTAAAACCTTTATACGCAATAAAATAAAAATTAACACAACCGATGTTTAAAAAAAAATACTTCTACCAAATACTTTACATGGTTAAATGATAAATATACACACTCCTTAAAAAAAATCTATGAATTTAATTGTTATGCAAGTAAATTTCTAGGTGATTTTAATTCGAATTTGTTTGTTTTAACATAATTACCTATACAATTAAAATGCAATCGCTTACAGCTGTCGAATCATGTTTTTGTAATAATTTCCCACCTACTTAAAATACACAAGTGAACTGAAATTATTTACATATTATTTCCATGCCTACATATTTTTGGCCCAAAGCAAAAAAATCGGCTTAGGTTATTTCACGATCTTTTTTCTATAAAAAATTCTTACTGAAAAATACAATGCCTGTGAAAATAAAATGAACAATAGTAAACTTTGGTGATGACTTGTACAGCACTTTATTTGTTAGACCATTTATTTGTTATCAAAGTTTTAATACAAATTTCAAATCACACAATACCATAGATTACGCGAATACCACGGAGTATGGCGTAAGTGAAGGACAAGAAAAAAAAATCACAACTTATAAAAGTGCCCTTAAGCACACAACAAAAGGTATATCACTTGGATCACTGCGGTATATCAAAAACAGAAACCGGAGAAAAGAATATATAAATGTATAGTCATTAAAAATAAAAAAACATAAATATTACGATTTATACATATATAACACAGTGTACGAAATATTGCAATGCGAGTCGAACACAATTTCTTTTTAAACTATTTTCAGTTTTAAAATCGACTTAGAGGGTTTTTTATTTTTTATTTTACATTAGACGGTAACCTTATATTATAATGTAATGTTATAATGTAATAATATAATAGGTACTTTGCTCACAATGCGAATACGACGAAACCACGAATGATTAGGTACAATAACTTTGGCTTTTACACAAGAAAATGTCGGTAAATCTCAGAAAAATAATCATTGAAACAATAAAATTATAAAGACGGTGAAATATTATTATAAATATTATTTTGACTATCATAATATAATAGTATACTGCGCTGTTATACGTGGGATAATAATTATTGATGAGCGTTCGACGTTTACGGATCGACATACACATTTTTTTTTTTACATTTTTTTTTATACTTTTCGAGAAACGAAAAATCGATTACACATAATTTATTAGATTTCAGCACCGTCATTGTCAGTCTCTCTTTTTCGTTGGTCAAGGAAGATTTTCCTCGAACAACAAGCCACTGCTGAGAAAACATTGTATTATGTTCCACATATATATAGATAATAATCTAACTCTTAAAGCTTAACGCCATTGTTTTCATATGAATATCTAAAAATAAGTTAATATCATTATGCCTGTAAGGGTTTTTCATTGTTTGACTAATTTGATAGATAGTTTGTAAGTTTCTAAGGTTTAACTAAACTAAGAATAAAATAATGGATAGTTAATGTTACATAAGTACGTATATAATAAACCTTTATAATGCATTTATATTTTAGGCGTCAATACCAAAATTGATACCAAAATACGATAAGGTGACTAAGTAATTTCATTTCATGTTGCATTTAGGTATTATAGAATATGAATATTATTTATAAATTTACAAAAGAAAACTAAATATCGAATAATACTAAAATGTGTTTTCACTTTCGGCATTCGATGACTTGGCTGCTAGTAATCCTGCAGTAAATCTTAATACCTTTGCTTTTTAATTTTAATTTTACTAATTTCACTTCAAAATACATTTTACTCCACGACAATATAATGGCTATAATTCATATTACTATAATCGATATTATTTTACTAATTCCATTATTCTTCCTCGTAAACAGCACCAGAAGTGTACTTATGTTCGTTGGGCGAATGCTCTGGATATTCGTACCCCGTCGATTGGTGGTCGCTGGGCGTCACACTTTACGAAGTCATGTCGAGGTGCCGACCGTATGACATCCATTCTGGTACAACACCGAGGGAAGTTCGGTCGATGGTGATGAATTCGACGCCGTCCACAGCAATACCACCGAAATGTTCAGAACAACTGAGCGTGTTATTCCAAAGAGTAAGGAATATTGAAAAATTGTCATCACAATAAACTTCGAGGAATGTGTTGCTAAACATATAATATTCTACTATATTATAGAGGGGAGTCGTTTAGTGCCCATTCCTCGGGTCGACACTAATACTATCACCAATTCAATGTCGTTGATATTATATTGTTTCAAAAGTTTGGATCAAGGAGAAGATTCAGCTCCCCCCCCTTTTCGATATGTTATACAATATCACTAATTTATTCATACCTATAAATTGTTCGTATACATCCTACTAACTTTTAAAGTTCATGTACATTTAAAATCGAAATAAATCGTTACTAATATTAAGTTATCTATTATTAGGTATTTAGTACAACTGTGTTTTTCAGGAAAAAATGTAGCAACTCCTTATTTGAGATTCATAGATCCGTGCCTGTATATTTACAATCATAGGAAGTTTTTAAATTCTAAAATAAATTTCACCTTCTAAAAAAATGACTTGTTCAGAATTCATGAATAATAATATAGCCAATAGAATAACTCATCATATTACGTAATAAAGATTCGAAACCAGAGTGTGTTAAATTGCGTACCCAGCTAGGGAGTCTCAGCTTGATACAATTGCAAAGTGCGATACATTAATTAATAACTATTACTGTAGCTGATAAAATATTACATTTTTCAATTTGACATGATCACTATTACGTATAGCAGCAATCAGTGGCCTATTGTGGAAATGTATGGTTCAAAATTCTAACGCTATGGTTAGATACTATTGAACACTAAATTCGGTCTTAATGATAATAAATATGCTTACGTTTGTGGACGTTTATGAAATAAAAGAAAGTATGATACTAAATATTTTAATTGGTCAATTTATTGGTAGAAAAAAAATGTTTGTGACAGGTTATTATTCTCTTAGGTAAATTATATTTGTATTGCATACACTATATAAATAGAACCGCTTTTTCGGGTTTTAAGTGTTTACCACTCATAAACCCACCCGTTGGAAGACGAGGAGAGGGATGTTTGCAAATGTTTGACCCTATAGGCGTCAAATGACTTGACACTGTCTGAACGTACACCCATAATAACTCTGTAGATGCAAAAAACTCATCAATATAACTAACAACATTTTTTTTCTTTTAAAACAAATATTTTTTTTGAGTAAATAAAACAATTATTTAAAATTATTTAAGCTTTTTTTGAAACTATTTACCTATAACACAAATAGTAGGTATCTACTGTTTAAACAATACTCAATGTGTTTGCGAAATAGTGCATACGTTTTAATTTAGATAATATCAAACAATTTAAGCTAAGTAGGTACTAATTGCATACATATCTACATAAATTATTATAGTTGAAGATCTTATTTATACTTTTAAGTATTAACGTTTTTAAATATACCTACTTAAGTACTTATACATGTATATAAAAACATGGTATTTTTTAATATTATTTCTACATTTGTTATATTGTATATAATGTTGTTCATTGTTTCTATCACAGCTCAGAAAAACAACACATTTATGACCCAACAAAATCCCGACAAAAATCTTTTAATATATTTTCCCGCCTTGTGATGTTGAGTTTTATTTTTAATTCGGTATTTTATACAGGTATTAGAGAAGAATATACATTTTGAAAGAGCAAAAAACTATTAAAAAACATTTTGTTTGTTTTTAGAAATAATATTTTTAATTTTTTTTGGCTCAATTATTATACTATTACGTATTTTAGACTTAAAAGGTAGTACTAATATAGTTTATCAGCTCTGTGAAAATATCGAAACAATTTGTAATAATTCGTTTGTTAAAAATCATTACTGCTGTCTGATTATTGCAATTAACCAGTCATGCAGCAATGTTAGTCGACTGAAATATCAATTAAATTTGAAATCACAATTATTGCAAAATACACAATTGATACATGTTTATATATTACAATTCAATGAATTATTAATTGCAGTAAATACTGTTTGGCTGCCGGATATAGTTGCAGGTTTATTAATTTAGCACTATAGTGACAAAAGGAACTTGCTGAAACAGAAAAAATATTATAGTTACCCATATAATATTGTATAAAAAAGTACCGTCTACATCGGCTTCAATGTGGTATAAATATAATTCCATCAGTCATAATATGATGTTGAATAATTATTTAGTATATAATTTAAAAATGAAATAAAAATTGGAAGACAAAAAAAAATATATATAATTCATGTGGTTTATTTCAATATACTCCTAAAACAAAAGTTAAAACAAAAACGTCAGCCGTAACATATAATTATATTATATCAACAATAGAAAATGTTTGTAGCCCGGATTAATCCTGAAAGAGTGGTGCGGAATGTAAATATAGATAGTCAATGCATCAAATATTAATTAAACATAATACCTACATTTTGACTGACCGAATTACATTAATTCAAATTTATTTTTACATATAATAATATTACCGGTCTCTGTTGTGTCTATTCCCACATAATATTATAAAATATATGAATACTACAATACCATTATAGTGTGTGACATATTTGGCTACACCCATGTGAAAATAAGTATGGATTATTGCAGAGATCGTGTCTTTTTTCGGAACATGTATTTACAATTTCTTTTAATGTTATTATATTAAACCGTATTGTGTTGAATGATAATAATATTTTAATGAGAAGATCTCAGGGATATTTTCCTTAGAGTTATCTCAGAGGTTTTTACGAGAGGTTATTAGCAGAAAGTTCAGAAATTAGTGGTTTAGAATAGTTTTGGGTTCGTAAAACTTTTTGTAGGGGTATCATGATAAGTATGTGGAAGGTTTGACGTTTCAAAGTGTAAATATTATGGTCTCATGGTTCACTAATGTTCATAGATACTTATATATCATGTGGAGTGATTTGTGATATGTCGTTGTTTACTGATTGGGAAGATTATGTTTATCTCCGAAACGATATTAGAATAAACGTAAATATTGTGTGTCATTATGGGAATATTTAAAAGGATTTTGGTTGCTGGTATTTGGTCGAAGTGTAAATTAATTTTCTTTTAGTTTGTCTTTTAGCTCGTCTATGTGATTATTATTTTATATTTATAGATGCCACTAAGATTTTTGCTAGTACATTACAGAAACCATAATATAGCAAAGCTTGTCAAATATTTACAATTTACATAGTATAAATATTTTGTAATAATCAAACTGTGTGACCTAGTTTAAATATAGAAACTTAAAATCTATAAATAAACATTTTCCTAACATTGTCAAAGTAAAAATATAAAATGATAAATAAGTACATCAATTTAATCTAAAATATGTAACAGAAATATCCAATCCTTAGATAGGTAGTTTTCACCTTTAATAAAAAAAACCATTTACAATACACAAAACAAAACAAAAAAATAACAAAGACATTCTTTGGTCCACAGCTTGTTGTTAAAAAATAATTCAATAGCACAAAGAATATTTATTTTTGAATAAACCATCTGTAATAATATAATTTAGTGCATTATGTACCCATCATAGCTATGCGTGGGCGAAGGTTAAAAGTAACAAAAATAAAAATAAAATAAAAAATGATCCTTGGTCGTAATTATTCTCTAAACTGCTGCTGAAAATACATAATACCCAATACAAAGATGTCATGTGTTTTTACTTTTATAATAAATGTCGTTGTTATAGCTGCTGTGCATTAACCCGGACGAGAGAATCACCACGGTCAAGAAACTGAAATCCATTCCTTGTATAAGCCGATACAATTTCGGAATGATATTAGAAAAACAAATCAGGCCACCGTTTACGCCGCCGGTAAGCCGCACGGGATAACAATATTATTATTATTATTATTATTAGTATTATTATTATTATACTTGAATATCGAACAGTAATATTCGCGTTTTGGACTCGGAGTAGTTGTCGGACGTATGAAAACAAATTGTTTCAAAACTATTTGCAGAAATAACAAAACATGTTTTAATTAGTATTGTATTGAATGGCGTGGAATAATACTGCGAGTAAAACTTTTATCATAATAATATTAACATACAATACCGAATGTTTGGCTCTCGAATTTCTCTACGCCGCCGCCACAACACGACGATGTATTTTCGCTCAAACAGTGAATGAATTTGGAGAATCTAATTCTAACCTAACTCAACGAAATCCGAATAAATTAACCCAAAACAATGTTTATCACTATTATGAATGTGATGTCTATAATACCATATTCAACAACAATAATGGATAGGTATCAGTGCATTTTTTTAACTACCTAGTAAAATATAGGCGACACAAATGTCGTCCAGTGAAAATATTTTGTCCTCGAGCTTATTGTATGTTTGAAAACTGGGTGGCACTCAATTTTTAGAAGAAACATCTTTAGACCACCAATGTAAAAAAAAATTAATAAATATTTGATCTTAATTGAAATTATACGTCCCTTTTTAAATAATGTATGACTCATTTTTTTTAACTTTTACAATTATTTACCTCTCCCCTTTTTAGCATTAATATTTATTTTTAATAACTATGACGGGCTAGCACGAATTAATTATATTGTCGTTCTATAATTTGATATTTATTTTTAGAACATTTTTTTGTCACCCAGTGAAAAATCCTTAAAAAATGCACTGATAGTTATAATAAAGTAGGTCAGGCAGTAGGCAGGGGAGTACGGGTGATATGAGAAAATTCTATAGGAAAATCGCTAGCAATTGAATATCTTAAGTATTTGAGGTTTTAGTCGTATTAATTAGTGAAGGAATTTCACAACGTATAATCATCATCGTTTTATATCAAATATTGAATTATAATGATTATAAGCAGGCATTATCATTATACAACGTCATGCGATGGGTAACAAATTAAGTTTCAATAGACATTTCACATTTTAAGTATATTCCAATAATAATATATTGTTCATAACATAATGAATACATCCAAACAATTACTGATTCAATGCATATCGTCACAAAATACAATCGATGAATTAATAATTAAGACTATTTACCCAAAGAAGCGGGTTATTATATTTTGGGTCTGTACAAAAATTTTAAAACTATATTGCAAGTCATAAAAAATTATAGATCATATTAATAACAGAGATAATTTATGAAACACTCACTGAATTATCAGAATTTCCAATTATTTTTAAAATTACTTTTCCGAAATTGTTTAATTTAAAATTCACTTAAAAAATAATAAAGCATGAACAGCAGTTATTATATTACGTATACAACATAGATTTTAAGTTAGACTGGCTTTTTTCATTACGTATAGAAAACATTTTATTTTAAAACGTAATTATAAAATATTATTATGAAAAATAAGTGAACAAAAATAACTTGAGGTAAAATAAAATAAAATGAAATAGGTATTTGAAAATAATGGTTTGAATTAAATTCAGTAAAATATAAAATAATAAGATATGTTTTTAACTAGTATGTGATATGTGAACAAGAGTTTATTCATACGAAAATTGTCTGGAAATGAAGTAAAATTTTTCTTTTGTTGTACAATATGTAAATTATGTTAATTTATATGTAGGTAAAATAATGAACTCTTAACCCATTTACAACTTGTGAAACATAAAGTAAAATAAATCATAGTTTTTGCTATATTCGTGTTTAGTTAAAACAATTTAAATAATCACAACTATTTGGAATACATTTAGAAAGACAGGCTGAATTGTGATCCAACGTTTGAACTGGAAGAGATGATTGTCGAACCCAACCCGCTGCATCGAAAGCCCAGACGGTTGGCAAAGCAGAGGTCACTGAGAACTTCCATGACGATAGAAGTAAGAAAGTGTTAATTTTCTTGGGAATCGATTTATAATTTATTTTCGCACAGGATACCGAGGTTAGCAGACAACTTCAACATTTTAAATGTTATAATCGCGAGAAAGAACTGGAAAGGCGAGAAATGGAACGCAAGGAACACGACTGGGAGCAGGAGTTGATTAAAGCTATGAACGCTTCGACCATACCAGCGATGTAAGTTCAAACGCTAAATTAATAGAGATTGATTTAGATTAATTAGAAACATAGCACACAAGAGAATTTAATAGCGATCGTATTTGTCAAAAAAAAAATAAAGAAAGATATATTTTGTATTTTTTTTTATTAGGTATAAATAGTTCAGTGACTATAGGTCATTATCCCACGATTAATTTACATTAACATTAATTAGTGTGGTTATTTGTTTAGTTTAATTATTGCGGTGATAACTCTTTTTTTTTAAGCGTACATTTTTAAAAATTATACACGGGGTAGGCGTTATGTTTCTCAGGTGTTTCTTCAATAGTCAAAGAATGGTTTTATTGTACTACGATTATGAGACATAATTTCTGAACGCACTTTGAAACGGTTTAATCGATAGCTGTAGGCTATTATACAATAGTTAATTATTTGGTAACTTTGAATGTATTCTAAACCACTATTAGCAGAATCTTGAGGCGAAAAAGATAAAACTCTATTCACAAGTATTACAAGTGTACTACTACACAGGTAATCGAACTGTGCCTCATCAATAGTTACTGTTTTTGGCGATTCATTGCATTATCGATATTAATTTTTAATTTGTACCAAATGTGAAATGTCACAACAAATGCCAGGAAACCATACTGGAGAAGGAACGTCGATTGTTTTTTACGCCGTTCACTATTTTTATCACATTATATGACTATCAATACAATATCTTCAACCGTCAAATTACGTTATTGACAACCAACATTTTAACCCGTTATGTTGTAAGCTATATTCTTCCTGGACAATTTTTCCTGTTAACTGATACCTCCCAATTCCCTTGTATTATAATATTTAAGTGGTACCTGGTCATTGTGGACGCTTCATAATATTAAGGCTTAGTAAAATGTAATACGAACATGTTCAGTGGGGCGCATTATCTTCTTGAAGAATAAAATAAAAAATAAATAAATAAATAAATAAAATAAAAATATTGTTGGTCTATGCACTGTTCTTTTAGCATTTACAGAAGTATATAAACCAAAAAACTGGCCTCTTCTATTATTTCTACATTCTATTACTTTATAAATTGTAAGTCTATAATACTGCCTAACCTAACTTAATATGCATCAACCCTTTGGTTCTTTATTCCGTTTCGGACACCGTTGACTTTTTTTTTGATTTTTACTTGTAAAACACTTGTTGTTTGTCGAAAATGTTAATATACTACCAAATGAAGAACGACAGGCTGACAGTCATTATAATATCACCAGAAAATTATTTCGACAAGACTTCTTTAAGAGCGTTATTTATTTTTGAAATGTATAATATTATATAATATTTCTACATTGTTTCAATACGATCACTTAGATTTCAATACATGATCGGATACTGCAGATGATCAACGGGCCCCATTTGTTTTTCCATGATCGTTGTAGGATTGAAGATATTATGTCTATATTATATTATTTTCACATACTATTTATATATTATTTTAAAAACCAAAATATCAATTCTATAACTTGGACGGATATTATCATTCATCGATGTACAGCTGAAGTCCTTATTTATTTTTTCATTCCTTCCATTTCATAGTTGTGCGATGTGAAACTATGCATATCTTTGGGTCAGTAATATAAGTGCGATTAAATCACTTTTTCATCAGCAATAATCGTTATAAAAATATACGTTAAATAAAATTGTTCAACATGAATTCTGCAGGTAAACTATATTCAGACCAATTCATCAATGTATCGATTTCTACCCCAAAAGTTATAAGATACATAATAATATGAATAACTATACAATATGCGCCATATAAGACGTCACACACTTCAATCAGATTTTCAGATGTGATGAACAGTATTTTATGAATCCAAAATCAACGTTTCTCGATTCATAACAATAGTTACACCATGTCATAATCACCGAAATTGTATAGTTTCTATATAATAATACAAGCTAAACCACACGTCTTGGTTGTCTAATCAACAACTTAATTACTTCTTTGAAATGAATATTAAATTCATTAATTATTACTTGGTTCCATCGTCTCCCGTTTCAGAGCTGACACTATAAATAATTATAATAATGTTTTAGTCGATAAAACTTTTATTTTGTTTTAATAACTTTGGATTTTTTGTTTTATTCCTAAGTAATGGTTTCTAGCTAAATTCGTAGACAATCGTAAACAGTAGTTACACGAAAAGTTTAGTAATTTTGTTTTGTTATTATGTCTATTGATCCTATCTTTTTACAACGTATTAAACTTTTTTCAAATGTATATTGTGTAAAAGCAAAACATTAAGTAATGGCATTTCTAGTTATATGGTTTTTAATATTGTGAAAATAGAAGATGTACAGTAGCAGAGGTACATATTTTATTTACCAGTAGATAGGTATTATTTCCAACCGATAATAGTTTTTAATATATTATAATTCTACTATATTAAATTCAAACAATAATAACTACTTACAATAATTATTAGCACCGATCATAAGTTATACTTATATCTTTTTTAGAGCAAGGCCCGTAAAATATAGTACATTTTTTATTTAAGATTGCAATTAAAGTAAGACTTCATAATAAATCAGTTATACTCGCAACTCACAAAAGCCATTCAATTAATGTTTGATACTCCGTAACTTGTTTCTTAGTTCTTGTAAATATTCATTTGGTCAACGAAATGAATACACATCAATATTATATAATATATACTTTTTTATTCTGCCGAAATCTGAAGAAGAGAATCAAACATTTCAAAAATCATCACAATTTATCAGTGTTTTATTTAAAACAGATTTAATTCTAACTTATGATGACACTTTGAAAAAATCAACAAAAGAATCTCATTACTTTAAAAAGTTTACGAATAGATTATAAAACACCCAATATTAGTTTTGATAAATTTAATTAAAAAACAATACAGATTGTTCTGGTATTTTTCACAGGTAACATTGAGAGGTGTTTTGTAACGATAATATTTTAATTATTCTCGTTGCGTTTCACAAACAAATCGTAATTAAAATACTAAAAGAAAAAGACAGTAGTGCTATCCGTGCTGATAATTAAACATATTATATATATAATATTATTTTAATTATTATAATATTATATGGGTATTGTGTTTTGCAGCTGAGGATAACCAAGAAAGATAAGACACAATAACGTCCTATGTATACATTATTTTCACGTTCAAATTATTCGTAGTGTGGTTGTCGTCTGAATCGATTTTAGTTTTTCTGAAGAAATACAAAATGGTGTTCGGTTTTCTCTCTTTTCGACTACAAACACAATGTATTCGAAAATATTCGCTATGTTAATTTCCGTCGGAAACGTCATAACGACAGTAATATTATTAGAAATATTTTAACAGTAGTAAATTTTAAAATATGTCTAACCTAACACTCTGTCAGAAGTCAGAATGAAACATAAAACTTACAATATATAATCATGTCAGTCAGCTTAATCACATAAGTCTTTGGTCACATTATATTATGCTATACCATAATAATGGTTGTATCAGTTAATGCGGTTGTTCACGTGGTGTTTTTCATTACAGAGAAAAGATAAAATCCAATTTCCAAAAACCACTTGTTTCTCTATTGTTGATATGTGATTTTTTCTACGAAAATATAAACTCAACATAAATAACATAACATAATATATTATGTACAACATAAACTCTTTTCGCTGCACTCGGTCTGTTGTAAGTTGTAATAACAGCAAGATTTACATTGTTCTTTACATTTGCAGATGGCTATTTCTTTAAATACACTCTCTTAGAATTTCGATGGTTGAATAATCATTTTTATTCTACTAAAGTTCAACTGAGTCCACTTAAGTTAAGTAAACTAACTACCTAATATTTTAACTATGAAATAATAATGGAATTAAATCATGTGATTTCTTACCTATTTGAGTAGTGTTGATTTATTGTGTAAACAGAAATTAATGTACTTTTGCTTTTGTATGTTTCATTATATTTCTGATTAAGATTTTTGAAAGTATAAAATGGACCACTCTCAACAATGTTGAATGTTAAAGATAAAATTTCCCATCAATATAAAGAAGGATTAATTTAAATTATTTTTTATTTAAATTATTTTGATCGTTGAAAAAAAAAAACAAGAATACAATGACACAATATTCTAAGATACCGTGTATCTCTATCGCCAATTATCTATATATATAAGAATCTAACTTGATTTTGGAGACGAAGGAAACCGGTTTTGAACCCTCATTATGATAATAATAATTAACTAATTACCAATTATTTTCATATATTCACCGATAACGATGTCTGTTTCTTTTATTTAAATTTTTTTTTTATTTTATAATCATTGTATTATTTGTGTAACCAAAAAATAGTCTTATGATTTTAAATTAAATTATAAAAAAATAATTTCTTCCGGAGGAAGGTCGGGCAACTAGTATTGTAATATAGCTGGTAGTTCGAATGTGGGATAAAACATCAAAATATAGTCGTGCGCGGGGTAGGAAATACTTTTGAAGGTCGAGTAACTGTATTCTCGATGGAAAAAAAAAACATTTTAAGAATACCGATTCGGGAGGCGGTTTTCCCGGTTGACACCGTTTCGACCGATTTTATAATATTATAATAATACAGTGACGGCGGTGAATATTTGTCGTACGAGTGCTTATATAATGATAATACAACACGCAGACGGCAAGAAAAACAATTACCGTATTTATGTGCAGCGTACCGGCCATGGTGACGGACAAGGACGGAGGGGGTGACTTGCTGACGGTGCCCATGATGGCGACCGAACGGCGGCGGTCCAGTTGCAAGCTGAATATATCGCCAGTCAGTATCCAGACCAGACTGTTGTCCGGGCAGGCCGATAATGGCAGCTGACACAAGCACGAGGAACAGGGCAATTGAACTCCACAGGAAGTCTATTGATATTGACGATTTTATGAATTTTTATGTAATTTTTTCAACAATTATTATTCTTTTGTACTCGTTATTATAACAATATTACACTACCTACTATATTATGTTGTCCTCGTGATCGTGATATTATGTAGTACGTATTGTCATCGTTTTGTATAAGCCACCTCCTCCCTGTAGACACGCAGTCCTAATAATAAGGACAACAACTACATCGAAGGCGATGATGATGATGATGATGTGATAATAATAATAATAGTAATAATAATTGCTCGATCCATAGAAATTATATTATAATTAACCCAATGCAAAATACCATACACGGCATTATAATCTTGTAATAATTACAATGTTATTATGTTATATACTTAAGCGTCCTGCAGGGATCGTCCTTCATCACGACTGTCTATCCGTTGTAAATCATAATATTAGATACCTATATGAGTTAAACGACACTGAAAATTCTTATTTTTATTTACCTGCAATTTTCGTTGTGTATAAGCTATAACGTTATCATAAAACTTTTTTGAACTATAATTTACATAAATTCTCATTTATTCGAATGATTTAAAAACGATTTCCACTCACAGACAGAACGCAAATGTTTTTCGAACAATTTTTTCTGTACCTAATACCTACGATACACATTATTAATTAATAATATAAGACTCCTAGAACAATTAAAATGGGTTATCAACATTCTGCACATAAATAGTATATTTTGTAGAGTTATATTATTATTATTATATTATGATAGGCATATTATCCTGAGTGGACAGCGCCGTGGTAACTTTCATTGGAGCCCCAGGACAATAATATTTGCCTATTAAACATACATATTTAATCATTTGCCTCCCTTTAGCACTTGACCCATTGTACCACCTCCCTCTGTGAGTGGACCACCGCGTTTTCCCACTTTTCTTTGTTCACTCTGTATTGTAATATAATAATATATTTTATTTTATACGCACTTAGTGGTATGCCGTGAAGCCCAGTATAATATGGGTATAATATTTATTATTATTATTATTTGTTACGTTACAGTTAAATGCTTTGAACGTATGGTTCGCAATAATTTTTAGTATCATTCGGTGGTGGTCAAAATAACGAATTGTGAACCAAAAATTATGAATGATATAGTTGTTACTGAAATACCTAGGTGTATGAGCCATGCGTTACGTAATGTCTTACGCAAATAAGTGGGCAAAAGATTCTGCCAAATATCGGCTGCTTGTCTGCCTTCGTAATTTACTGTTTGAACTAAGTATAAAAATAATATTAGATAATGAAAGTATTGAAATATGATAATTTTAATTTAATTTTAATATGATATATATATTGGTAAAAACATTTTTAACCAACGACAGCCAATTCGGTCTGTTAATCAACGTGTTAAAAATGTTAACGTTGTGCAAATATTGTACTCACGTATTTGAACGTATACTATGCACACGTCTACTTTAATTAAGCTATATCAACAGTAACATAATATTTTACCCGTGTACGTTGTGGAATTGAAATGAAAAGGTTCCATTTCGGTTTGTTTTTTTCAACAGAACTGAGAATTGTACAGATACGCATAATTTACGGTATACATTTTTGTCCAAAAACAACAGTAATATATTAGAGGTCATTGAACGATATTATTACATTAATATATTTAATTTGTAACGGTTCTATACAATCGATATACTTTATTTATTATACTACGATATAATAGTATTCAACGTTTATCAGGATATTTTTTTTTTTAATTAGTACACAAGTGTTCCGAGTTCTCACACTAATATCTATCGTTATGATATATTATATTATTTTTTAAAAATACAATTTTCCGATAAATAGAAATATTTCAGTCTCGACGAAAATCATAATTTTTTTTTTTATGATTATTGACTTTCAACATAATATTACTCAGATGAGATAATTATAGATAAAGATGATCCTATAAATATATTTTTGGACATTGGGTTGCTACTTTTTAACATTATAATACAACATTTAATAATATATATGTATAAAAAATACAGTTTTCGAACCTTTTCGTTCCGAGCCAACCACATCCGTGAGTAAAAATTAATTACAATCAAATTTTGTGTCGTAAGCACTGCCAAAAAAAAAAAATTATAGTTAAACAATATAGACGAAGTGAACAATGTGTTGTATAATAATATATGCGAGCTTTGTTGAATTCAGATATTATATTCTTAAACGAAAACTTTTGCCACCTCCGAAATGTGATTTAATCTCGACAAACTGGAGAGGAAAAAATGAATATCAAAGTCTCGGCGTTGTATATTTTAATAAAAATGTTTATATTTTTTGTAAAATTAGAAAACGTATAAATTATGAAATATTTAAATTTAATATTGAAAATATAGCACTATTATAGTGTATACTCTGCTGTTAATAAATTTTACGAAATTATAAATCATTTTATTGAATTGTTTGTTCCTAAAAGTAAAATATTTAACAATCAGTGTCCCTCTTGGTTTAATGCGGATTTACGTAAACTTGTAAAATTAAAAAAATTGGCTCATAAAAAATTCAAAATAAGTGCTTTACAATCTGATTATCTTGAGTTTTCCAAACTACGTAAAGAATGTAAAATTATGTCAATGCGTTGTAGCTCAAATTTTATTCTTAAGTTAGAAAATAAAATAATATCTGATATAAAACCATTTTGGAAATACATTAAACAGCTAAAATCTTATAAATCTTCCATTCCCGAAAATATGTCATATAATAATATTACGGCCAGTAGTTATGAAGAATCTGCTCAATTATTTGCGCAATATTTCTCAAGCGTATATGATACGTCTGACCCACTTAGTAATGATTTTACAAATTATGACGCTGATAATATTATTTCTAATTTAAATTTATCCTCTTGGTATATAAGTGAGAAAGAAATTTTTGATGCTTTAAGCTCACTGAATGTTTTTAGTTGTGCGGGTCCTGACGGAATACCACCAGTTATTTTAATCGAATTCAAAAATGTTCTTACTGAACCTTTACATAATCTTTTTAACTTATCCTTGTCATCAGGGTCTTTTCCAACTGTTTGGAAAAAATCATTTGTGGTTCCGATTTTTAAAAGTGGCGACAAAGGTAAGGTTTGTAACTATAGACCAATTTCTAAATTATCTTTAATACCTAAGCTGTTTGAGTCTTTAATTACAAAAAAATTATCTAATTTACTATCTAATTACATTTGTCCTAACCAACATGGATTTCGGCTTAAAAAATCTGTGTCTACGAATTTGTTGACTTACCACACCGATTTAATTAATTCCGTTGAAAATGGCGTACAAATTGATTCAGTTTACACAGATTTTAGTAAAGCCTTCGATAAAGTAAACCATTATTTACTAATAATTAAGCTACAAAGATTTGGTCTTCATGGTAATTTTCTTAATTGGTTGACATCCTACCTAACGGATAGAAGTCAGTCAGTTAAATTGTTTAACTCATTATCTAAGGTCATTTTTGTAAGTTCCGGAGTACCCCAGGGCTCACACTTAGGGCCATTACTATTTAATTTGTTTATAAACGATTTACCATCTGTTCTCGATTCTTCAGTCAATGTGTTAATGTTTGCCGATGACACCAAATTTTATTCAACTATTAAAAACCATGATGATGCACTTAATCTTCAAGCTAATTTAAATAAATTTAGTTTTTGGTGTGAACAAAATAAATTACCAATTAATATTGATAAATGCAATGCTATCTCTTTCACTAAAAAAATGTATCCTATAAATTTTAACTATCAAATTAATAATATTAATATTAACAGAGTTGAAATGGTTAAAGATTTGGGTGTTCTCTTTAATAATAATTTATCTTTCTCTATTAATACAAATATGGTTATAAATAAATGTTTTAAAATGCTAGGTTTTATTTTACGTAATACTAAGGAATTTAAAAATGTATTTACATTAAAGATGCTCTATTGTTCTCTTGTGAGGTCACATACTGAATTCGGTTCAATAATCTGGGCTCAAAATTGTACTGATAAATTGGTTGATAATGTTCAATATAAATTCCTTAAGTCTATAGCTTTTCGTTTAAACTTACCTATTTCTAGAGATTCATTTTCATTAGTAGCTGATTCTATTTATATTCAGCCTTGTGGGGTCAGGCGTAAGTTATCTGACGTCATGTTTATTTATGATCTTCTTAATAATTATATTGATTGTCCTGATTTATTAAGTAAAATTAGTTTTTGTACTCATAGTTATTCGATTAGAAACTCTTGTTTATTTTATGTTCCTTTTTATAAAAAAAAAAATATGTTCAGATTCATTTTTTCCTAGAGCTCTATTGTTATGTAATTCAATTTGTAATGAAGTCGATTTCTTTTTTATGTCTCGTGAATCTTTTAAAACAAAAGCTTTATACCTACTATCTAATTAATTTTAATTATTTTATTTATGTAAATTTTTGTTATAATTCACCTTTCAAACTGTATTAATTATTAATTATTTTGTTTTTGTATGGTTGTTCCTGATTATTATGTATTATATCCTATGTATAAGGGCTTGTCCCGTTAAACTTATTAATAAATAAATAAATAAATAAATAAATAATACACTAATTATTAGGTAAATTACGTTTTTATAAAACTCTAGAATAATATCTAGTTTTAAACAATTGAGATTCCACAATAATCATATTTACACAATAATAGTATCGGAATTCAACACTGTGGTAACGAGAAATAATAATTTATTGTTAAATGTGAAATTTGCTTTACCATTTTTATTCAAATATTGCACATCGCAATATATGTATTACGAGTTTATAAACTAATTACAATTTGTATTGTAGTGGTTTTTTTTTCTGATTGTCAACAAAGAACATTTTGTACATTTAACATTATTTAGTTATATATTTATAGGGCTATGAAAGTAAATCATTTCTTGTTTTATACGACTTTCAGGGTTATTATTAAGATTATTAGAAAACTGTGTTTGTTATATAATCACAAAACTAATAATTGTGACATTTTGTACAATCCCTAAAAGTCAAATTAAGGAGAATAAAAATATATATTCTATATAGATTATTACAAATCTGTTGTATTGAATGAATATACCAGGTACAATTTATTTTATCGTTTCTACTATTTAGGGCGCATAGAAGTGTATAATTGTTTTAAGAAGACAGGTAATAGTAAATACCTATTTTAATAGTTTTGATAAATTTATGTCAGAATTACATTTAAAAAAAATATAACTTTATTATACATTATTCACTCAAAGAGGAATCCAATAAAGAGCAAACATTTTTATTTTTTCAATAATACCGATTATTTATTCGATATTTTTATCATTTTCACGACATATAGTATAGGTGTATGTACGAGTACAATTTCTTATTATACTTGCTGACGTCTTGTAAACCAGACATTTTTGTTGAAAATAAAATACTTATTGCAAGATGATAGGTAAGTATATTGAATCAGTGAGATAATTGTTTTTTTTTCAAACATTGTACATTAAAGTCCTGGGTCTGTACCCAATGTTTATTTTTATTTTTTAATAGCTATACAGCTAAAACGTATATTTAATTTCTGATCTGGAATTTCGAATATTATATTGCTACACAATATGATTGATCAGTGTATTTGATAAAAATCAACCTCAAAAATAATATGTTTTTTTGATATTTTCTGTTAAACTCAATCTTTAAAAATACTTGAATTCTTTTGTATTTTTGTATTTTAAATCAGCGATAAAAGTGTTTCGGTCAATCCTTGTAGTTACCCACCTTAACAATGAAATCTGTATTTTATACTTTTATAGTTGCAATTCTTCGAGTCATTGTGTTTACTGTTTTAAAACAATTATATTATAATCTAGTTTATTAAACATTTGGAAAAATTGTTTTTTTATTATCTCACTGGGTAAGTAATTTACAAGATCGATTTAATATCACAAACGTTTTCTGTGCAAATCGATCAAATTCATGTGATTACGCCTTTGGTATATTATTACAATATACATCAATATTATTACAGAAAATGATGACGTGCAATTTAGAGGATCCGCGGCTTTTCTGATTGAAAATCGAAATATTCATGAAAGTATTCGTGACGATGGGAATGAATTATTGTGATCCCCAACGATGAATAAGAAAATGACGTTTTTCAAAAATAATTTACATACGGCGCACTCATAAAATACAATATAAAATATGTATCGATAGAAAGGAAGGATAAATCGTTTGGAACAAGTCACGTATATTTTGCAAGAGGCGTATTTTGCTCAAATCGAAAAGTGAGAGGCAAAATAAAATAATCCTAAACAAAATAATATTATGTAAATATTATTAACCAACTGCGTTCATACAACCCCATACAAATGATTGCGATGACGTTTCACGTGGTTTACGGGTACCTACGAAAAATTAATTTTTTTGTAAACGCCATTCGGCTTTCGAAATTGAATACAAAAATTATTTACGGAAAAGGTGTTATTATACGCAGGCACATACGTATTATATATATATACTGGAATAAGCGTAATAAGTTATACTACTAACTACTATAAACATTTATTGATGAAAACACAATAAATGAGGCTAATCATTCATTGACTTGACACAAAATTCTTCTTAATGGGTCATCTAAAATAATATTATTCAATATTTAATATATAATATATAATATTATTCTAGACTATAAACCGGGTGAGTCAATGTAGCCAGATACCAAACCACTTAGAAATTTAACACCAGTCGTATCCTTCCATTTATTCTCAGTTTTGATAAATCAAGTGCCATATAATATTATATCAGAGTTGGTCAAACTCTTTTTGGTAAAAAATTACTTAGGTTTGTTCTTATGGATACGGGATTTGAGAGTCGGCTTAATTATTATAGCAATTAGCTTCAATAATTAAACGAAGGAGGGAAGTTTGTATTGCTGTGCAGCAGGTATCGAGTATACCTCGTCATTGAATAAGTCACTGTACATTATGCTAATTAATGAAGGCTCGTCGCATACGAAAAACGATTTTGGGCAAAGCCAAGTCAACCGATCGACCTTTATAACTAGGTAAGTATAATGTTGTACGGTATTGTGCACATTTCTTTTAAAGCAATTTATTTTACTAATAGTCATACCGATACGAATGGGCTTCAATCAAAGTACATAATATGCCCTTAAAGAATACTCCCTCAGAGAAAGTGCGAGCGCTTCATAGGCTTTATAGTGGAGTGAACACACTGTATTATGCGTTTAAATTACTATTTTTAGACCATAACATTTGCGCGGTAGACAATGATTTCCTAACTTTGATACTTTAGCAAGCGTAAAACAAGCGCATTGTCCGCATTAATTATTTTGTATTGTATAACTTTTAGTAAGTTCAGTTTTTTAAAGCCATAAAAACATACATTTATTTATACACGAAATGTATTTAAGTATAAAATATTAAATTATAATATTGTTACCCTATCTCGTTCTATTATAATTATTATTATTCACGAGAGGTGAGAGAAATTATTTTTAATTTTTAGGGAGGCTTGAATAAAAAAAGTTTGGGAACCGCTGGACTATGTCCTCATAAAATGCGTTAAAAATTGTTTTTATTAATTATTCATTCGAAAACAAACTCTGTACATTTTTAATAGATCATAAATATAATATAATAGCTACACGTATTATATTCACGAGCTGTAACACCTACATAAAATATGATAATGCATACTTATGATGGGAGGGAGGGGTTGTTTCCTGAAGGCTACGGACTGTAAAAGCATGATGTGAACGAGCACCAGCAGTACGCAGAATAAATCTCGCAGTAAAATAGGGAGTTTTAATAAAATATTAGGTAGGTATGTTCTTTAAATCTACAATATTCGAGGAAACCGACCAAAACTATACCTCTCGCTCGTCGTCGAGACGTTAAATCGGTACTTTGAACACTATTTAATTAGTAATAATTATTAACTATCTAGTGATTTGACGTTCGATTCTCGAAAAATATTGCGCGTTCGAAATAAAATATAATATTGTACACTTAACGCAGTCGTCATTCGAAAAAAAAAAAAATAGAAAATCTCATTATCGCGATTACAATAAGATGTACTTTTCTTCCAAAACGTCGTGAACTTTTCTCCCGAAACGAGTAGGTATTTACCTTGGGAGAATACAATGCATTACACTGTTCGATATAAATATACGCACCGATCGGCGGCGTCGGGATCGCGTTGTTCAAACCTCCGTCACGGGCCACGGAAAACTTTTGTCGCGCGTGAGTTCCGCTCGCACGTCCGGAACGGCGCACCCCACCACCCACCACATCGTCGCAATACCCACATGTGCGGACAACGTCGAGAGCGCCCACGCACACACGCACACACTTGGGTTTTTTCCGAAACTTTCCGTTTCGTATTTACCGCAGCGAAACGCGCTACGATGCCCCCCCCCCCCCCGAAAAGGAGAAGAAGAAAAAAAACGCCGAACGCTCGCCACTTGCGCCGCGCACCAGCATCGACCGTCGATTACCGATGATATCGCTTCGTTTCGTTTGGTTTTCATTTTATTTGTTCGCCGTTTTACGACGCAGGTAGCAGGGTAGGTGTCTACTGTTTTCACAGCACCGTCTGCCTCCGAAAGTATATACTGCACGGGCATCACGTACCGGGGTGCAGTTTACGCGCCGAATCGATTTGGCTTGAAAAGCTTTTTTTTCGACACGCCGATTTCACGCGAAAAGGGCTCAAGACTGATTTTCGTTATATTTTTACTTTCCAGTTTTCCGACATACTTGTGATTTTTTTTCATACAATCGACTACGAACAGTTATTAGTTAATTGCCTGTTGACGTCTATATCTAAAAGTTTGAAGGAAATTACTTACTCTAAGTTTACGCATATCTTTGCACATCACACTCTTTCTATATTATTAGTTCACTAACTATTTTCTATTCGCATGCGACGGCAGTTGAAAACTTGCCACCTTCATGACTCGATGCATTTTTTAGTAAATTGTTTTTTGATCTTTAGCAAGCCAATGTCGAAATTATACCGACATATAGGTATTCACATTCCGGTACTATTCTTTCCGAGCAGTAGGTATACATTTTTAAGTATCCCGGTTACCCCGGTTGCACAATACACGCCGACGCTTTATGCGGATTCACTTAATGAGATTTTAATATTCAAAAAAGTTAAAATGGTCTTACCGTAACACCGTAATTTTTTAGTTGATTAATAATTTGAGTTTCGTGGTTTAAGTATAATTTACGATTTATTATATAGGTACCTACCTATTTTTCACGAGATATTCAATGTTTAAACTTTTTCCCAGCGGGCGGCAAAATTAATTGAATTAATGAAATTTCCTGAAGCATAATACAGAGAAAGAAAAAGAGAATTTCGTGGAACATATAACCTGTAGTGTTTATTCTAAAAAACATTTCGAGTTCCTGCCTAATCTCTATTAAAATGTATCATTAACTTTTACTTTGAATTTATGTGTATATTTAATTAGTTTCCGTGAAATATTGCACGGAAACCTAGTAATAGTGTACCTACATATTAACATATTATAATAATAAATAATGTTTAAAACTAAAAAACATAATCCTCACTTGGGGACCTTTAATATAATTATAGTGTACCAGTGTATAAGGTTATAGCCGGAGTTATAGCCTATAAGGCCATATAGGAGGACCATAATATTATATAGTATAAACAGTAGGTATACATACAATTGCAAATAATTATTATTTATGTAATAAACACCATCTTTGATCTTAAAAAGTTTACTCGATTGCATTAAAAAAAATATATTTTGAGAGTTGATCTCTGTTTGGACAATTTAGTAACAATTTATATCAATAAAATTATCGCACAGTTAACCATTGTACGATCAGTTATTTGCAAATTATGTTCAAACATAATGTTATAATATATTGGTACTTGAACTGTTTGAGTAATTCTGAAATTCTTTTGATAAACAAGTGACTAGTCGCTTGTAAAAATAAGCACCCAACCATTGATCGTTTCAAACGGAAATCAAAACTTTTAATATCATTTATAATTATTAATATAAATTGGGAAAAAACTTCATTTTGCTTTAAAACTATCATGCTTATTCAGTCTTTAAATCTAAAAATTCTAAAATGATTGTTAATGATACGTATCAGTATTATATCAATACCAATCTTAACCACTCGGACACGAATTTCTTTAAAGTACAATAAATGCGTCTGTAAAAATAATAAGTCTAAATCAAATGTTCTAAACAAAAAAGTAAAAACAAAAACCATGTCTAAGTATTATATTACCTACAAAATATGCAACGAAAAATCTATAAAAATCCCCACGACTTAACATAATTTTTTTATAAAGGAATTTTGACGACAGACATTTTTCTGTTCGGATAAAAACAAAATGGAAGCCTTTAAGACTAACAAAAGAAGTGTATAATCCGTTTAAATGATTTGACAGAATTTATACATATACGTTAAATGTCGAATCATTCATTAGGTCGGAGGTTTAATTATTTGTCATTTTAAAAAGTTAAAATCATGGAAGTTTTTATAATATTATTTATGAACACATTTGAACAAATTTTTTAATACTGGATCAAATTAAACTACATAAACATACATCTAAATTACATAATATAATTTTATTTTCATTTGTTTCAACTAAATTCAATAACTTTCTGAAAGTATTTTATTTAAGAAACCCAAACATAGACATTAGACACACTATATTTTTATATATCAAAAATGTTCTTTAAAATGAATCATTTTTATCCAAAAATATAATAATATATTAAAATGATGTACAGCTTATAGATTTGTTCTATATTTATTAACTAAAATGTATATTTGATAGTTTTCAATAAATATTTTACAGATATATTTTCATCTGAACTATTCAATCGATTAACCTTGATTGCTGTGAAAAAATAGTTCGGTCGATAAAATGACCTATTCTAACTTGAAATAGATTCATCAACTCGCTGAAGTAGCTGCAAATTTGTGTCGGCTGGTCCAGTGCAATACCACTTAATTACTCAGCAGGTTTATTGTATCATTCGTATTTTAAGGGCAACTAATATTGCTACTCCGTTTTCAAGCGTTTTGTTTTGCTTTGCGATGATTTAAAATACAAACATAGTCACTAATTACTATAAAACGAGATGTGTTATTACGCCGTTGACTTACATAATCTTCTTAGATGTTTTTTTCAGTTTATAATTTATATAGGTATTTGTATAGGATTATTTTATCCAGATAGTATGCCTATCTCAAAGGACGACCACGAGATAGGAATGGAAATAAATTACATGGCTTATCAATGTTATCAAAATGTAATGAATGACACTTCGTAGATGACATTTTTGCGATGAATAAATGACAGTTCCATTAATATTGAAAAATTATATTTTATTGATTTATCGTTTTGACCGGTTTTGTGGTGTAAGTCATTACAGCAGTAAGCGTTTTATCCGTTAAAGGTTCACATACTATGATATGACAGGCAAAAAAAATGTCGAAATACATCTGAAATAGAATTAAAGCACGTACAGAATACGAGTGAAAGTCCAAGTATATCAAATATGACTCACAGTGCGACAGTCGTCGAGTTCAGAGTTTCCTTACCTTAGTAACAAACTATTTCCTCTCCTACGATAACCCTGACAACAATTTTAAGTGTGAAATATAATAAAATATGTATATTGTTATGATAGTAATAAGCAAGTGGAACTTATTTATGTTTTCGTCTGTCTCTCAATGTCCCTCTCTGTTTTGCTCCATTAAAATAATATCGTATTAGGTATACGTCATTTTCGCTTTAGAGATATAGCGGACCGCTTACGGGTAAGCCGATGCGGCGGTGGGTTAGCATCAATCGGACGAGACGTGACGACCAAGACGACATCAGCGATGCTGAGACTCGCTAGTGCGGTTATATGCGTGTTGGCGCAGTTGTGGATCGGACGGGCCGGTGCCATCCCTAATCGGACGCCTCCCATCAAGTGGTTGATCAACACTGGAAATATGGCAGGCCGATGGCCCCCACCGTCGTGGACCGGAAGTAACAGCTGCAACAATAACACCGCGACGCCAAACGCTATCAGCCGGATGCAAATGATCCGCGGCGGCACGGCGGCGGTGCTGGTCATGCCCACCGGAGACGGTGGCCGAAGGTGTTGCAGTGACGGCGCCCTGCCGCAGTTCTCCCTGGGCCTGGTGGACCTCAAGCACGGATTCAACAACCTGTATCCGGCCGTGCAGCCATTTCCGAATTGGCAGTCGTTCGTGGACGAGGACCCGCCACCAGTAACGGAACCACCCTTAATGGATGAGCAGGACCGGAACGCCACCGAACCGGACGAACAGCTCACTTCTGAAGAAATCCCCACCGACGGCCACAACGATGAAAAAAACAGCGGCCGCCGGCGCATCATCAACGCCGTGGACGCGTTCCTTGACGATCGAGGACGAATCCTCTGGGTCCTGGACTCCGGGCAGGCCGGTGAAGATGCCTGTAACGGAATCATGCCGTTCAGTTGTGATAAATCCGGGTCAGAGCCTTCGGAGATAGACGATCAGCTGCTGAAACCAAAGTTCGTCGCTATCGACGTGTATACAAACCAGGTACTATTACATGATATACAACGTTATGATAATAGATAGACAGATACTATAATGTTACCCTCCTAGATTCTTGCTCATCATTTTTGTGTCTCACTTTTTGTCTATAACCCACAACTAAAATTATTGTTACTAGTTTATTGTTCTACGTTTACTAATTTATCATAACATGATATAGTACTGTAATTAATTAAATTATATTTATTTTTATTTATACTGTAACAATTAATGTAACATGTTTAGAGGGTTTTGTGGTGGAGCATCCCACTTTTTTTTACCAATATTTTAAAAATGCTAGGCTTGTAGCTCCCCCCCCCTAATTATTATGTCTAGTTACGCATATGGGCTATGAAATAATGTCTCAAACGTTTCGTGTTTCAGATCATCGACGTTGTAAGTCTGTCACGCGTTTGGCGTCCCGGAGTGAGCTGTTTCCAGTACATAGTGTCCGTGTACCTGGATGCCGAAGAAGAAGATAACAACAGTGGTTCAGTAGACGGTGAGACCACTTGTGGAAGTACCAAAACATGCACTTTAGACTGGCCACTGGTGGTAATCGGGGACGCCGGAACTAACCGTGTGCTGGTGTACACACACAGCAACGACAGGTTTGCCGAGATAATATTGCCACTGGAAGAAGAACACGATGCGCTGCACGACGCCGACATCGACGGTATAGGTGACGAGGCAAAGGACAGCGAATATAGGCGCTCCCGATGGCCAACTCCTCCGACCAGGGACATGCTCTACTTGGCCCCGCTGACCATCAGGCCGGGCCAGGTCAGGCTGTTGATCACTTACCACGGTTGCCGCGAAGTATACAAACTCCGGTTGGAACCGTCCACTTCTGATCTACCGTCTTACGACGACGGTCCCGAGACCCGCGATACGACCCTAGCGCCGTTGTCCCCGATCATCGGCACACTGGCAGTTCTTGGGCGGAAGCCGTGCCGGATGGTCGTACTGGGCACGGACCGTCGGCGGACGGACGTCGTCGGCGAGAGTTTCGCGGACGGCGGGACTACCGTGTACTTCCGATTGGAAAACACCAACGATATATGGTCGTGGAAGGTATTCAGCGGGAAGAAGAAGCTGACCGGATCGCACTTGTACATCGACGAACGTGACTTCCGGTTGGTCAGGCTGGGCCGGACGTGTCGCATCCCTGTCGCGATTTCGATCGCACCGGCGACCGTCGGGAACGGATGCGCAGACGACGTGGACCAGAATTCTGGGGCCGCCGAGAAGACAGCCTCGGGAAAACAGATACGACAAATCGTGTGGATGTTAGAGACGAACTTCGTCGATCACTTCGCGGCCACTGCGGACAGGATGGGAGCTAACGCCAAGCTGCAACCCCTCGAAGTGCCACTGCAGAACGACGGGAATGCCGCCCGAGCGTTGAGTTTTGACGCTGCGATGCAAAATTTTCCTCTGCGAAGTCAGCCAGCCAATAGAGACTTCCGGATGCAGCGAAACTCAGTTTTCCGTCAACGACGGTCACAGACGTCTAAACGTTGTAGAAGCAACACCGGAAGATGACCAATCAAACGGATCTTGTATGGTGGTTTTTCTTTCCCTAAAAAGTACTTGCAGGTATACCATGCTAAATCCGCAGGTGGGCGGACAACGAAATCGATGCGAGCTGTCAGTTCACAGACATTAAGTAGTTGCATTTTCATAATGAGGTTATATCGTCTGTAAATTGATTTAATATTATTATTTTGATATCAGCTGACCACAGCGGTACACGTTTAAGACTCGATTTATTTTACGAACCTACACATCAACTTACTTTCATTGAAAACAGTACTGTACGAAAAATACCAAGTCACCATTGTATCTATTATAATATTAATGTATAATGTATATGTAGTATTAATGTACTATATTATTATGTTAAACTATAATACTTGTGAACTTGTAACGATTTATTTTAAACTCGATTCCTATTATAATCAAGAACTTGAATGTATTATTAGTTATTTAAAAACGTATTTCTTTTTTTAGTAATAAAATGTTATGATTTAAAATTGAATTCGTTCATATGTATATTCACAAAGTCCGAGGGGCTGGCTAAACAACTTGTGACATTCGCCAAAAATAAGGTAACGATTTGCAAATTCTAAAAACTAATTTGCAACTATGTATATAATATTGTGCGTTAAATTTGAAATCATTGCATACGAAAAACGATTTTGAGGGAAGACGTTTAACCTAAAATACTAAGTACCCATGTTTTATGATATTATGGTTATTAAAGTAATTTATTTTACTAATGGCAATAGACTAGACTAAATTAGTTTTTTTTGAAAATATCATTGTGTGTGTAAAATATAATAATAATACTTTTTAAATTTCAACGAAACAACAAAAATCTTTATTTTTCATTTAAACTTCATAATATATCTATTTCGTTCAAATATAACCTTGAAATGCCTATAAAAAATAATAATAACAACAACTATAATAATAACTTTTAAAGAAGGCTGTATTCAATTTCCAATCTTTTTTAGCCTGCGAAAAAAATTTATCGAGATTTATAGAAAAAAAAAACAAGTTAAAAATGTTAACTCGGCGAATGAAAAATACACGGTTTCTAAAAGTATTTTAATACAATCACGCAATAAACTATAATTCCATATTATGCAATTAAAAAAGAAAATAATTTATATTAATTGTATCTATCAACAATCATACCTAACTTTGTATTGGTAACTAATATAAATAGTATTCTAAAAATAAAAATAGATCAAGCATCGGGTTCCTGTAAATTGATTCATTGAAATAATACGTCCACTATTGTCAACCCTAGTACTAATGACATAATTTAATTTATACTGCCATAGCTTATCATTTTCTAAAAAATAAACAAGCCAACAGTCCATAATCCTCGTGGTATTTTGAAAATAATGATAAACATATATTTATTAACTTATTATTAGAAAACCATGTTCAACAGACTTGCAACCAGAAACCACCGTCAAATTATCTGCTCCAAAGACTACGTGATGAAAGACAATAAAACAAATCTCATTGTGTAAAATTATGTACAGCAAGCTGTAGTACATATATACTTATTGCACCCTCATAATATTATATGTTTAATAGTTTTGATAAAATCACTGAAAAAAAAAAATGAAGATTACAGTTTTATATTATAATTTTGGATGTCTGCATACAAATAAAATAAAAATTATATTTAATACAATGGCCATTAGTTTTTACGTGTAACATACACACAACATTTTATTTAGGTACCTTTTAATACAATGTTATTATGAATATTATCTTAATTCATACTCAAACAAGATAATTTAATATAGAGTCTGTAATTCAAATACTATTTTTCGATTTTAAGTACCAATTATAATAAAGTATAAATATCCCATATCATCTCCAATCGCATAATTTGCCCTATTCAGACAGGTATGTAATGTTTCGCTACAACTGCAATGTGATCTGTAAAAATAATAATATGTGATGGGATTATCACGTACCTAATGTGTCTCATATAAAATAAACAATAATTATGATTGCATTATACGAGTATTATACTCAGGTGGGCATTGATCATTTCATTGTAATAATCATTATACTTACTAATAGATTACTTTTGATTATTATGTACTTACAATAATTATGAGTTAATGTCTCTGAATATTTATAAGGTTATCGATACAATTATGAATTTTGAATATTAATTTTAAAAAGGCTGTTTAATGATATCGATTATTAAAACAATAATATGTGAATGACTTTATGTATTTTTTGAAGTGTTTAATTATTATTTATAATATATTAATTGTTATTTTTAATAACAATATTTTTTTAGTTTTAATTTAATGTAGGTATTTATGTGTAACATACGTTTTGCTGCTGTAAATTGTTTTTTTGTAAATGGAGTTTAATCCTTATGAAATAAATAAATAAATAGGTATTGTTCATAAAATATATGTATTAAGTAAACATCATAATGTGGTATAATATCACCATAGATGGTATAAGAATGGTAGGTACGAAGTTTTTTTAATAATATTGTATTATAATAAATTCTATTAAAAACAGCTTGTACGTCTAAAACACAATAAAAAATCATTTACTTAAAAATATGATCACTTTTTAAGAGATATGAAATATAGTACAATTTAATTTAATTTAAGACATAATTATATTTATATCTTAGGCTAACTAATTTAATGGAACTTATAATTTATAAGTGATGTTACCATCGATAGTTTTTCCGAAGTACCAAAAAGATATGGAAAAAAGTTTTATGTTTCGAGAAGGGTCGATGGGCTAAAGTTGTAACATATAAAGGTTAGGTACTATTAGTTTAGTCTGTGTAGTATAATTTTAATTTCTTTGATATCGAGTTTGTATAACTTTAAAGCAATAAATATTATATAATATTTTATTGTCTATGCGATGTCGATAAAAAATTCAAACGATATTGCATCGTCAAAGTTAACTATAAGACGTTAGTGGTTTAGTGCAACCATAAAATAAACAAACTTAAAATTCTTTTTTGTCGGATCTAAAATAGTATTATTATATAATATTATACAACTGATTTAATGATCGCGCAGAAATGATATTGATCCAGAAATGCAACGTTTAATAAACTAACATGTTTAAACTTCAAAGCCATGGTATGATAATTGGTTAAAACCTTATGAAAATTTTTTTTTTTAATTCTTCAGTTTAAATATTGCCTACATATAACTCGTAAAAATGACCTATAGTTGCTAGATTCACAATACGCTCTATGCATATAATATTTTGTATTCAACACTTTTTGTTGGATTGTGCCATCTGTTTTTACTAAAAAATGTTAGATATACAAAACGCATAATAATAAAATTAATATATTTAGTAACTCGATCGTGTATTTATGTATATCTTTGGTAATGTCTGAAACAAGCGTATTTCACAAAATTGGATATCAAATACATTGACTGTAGACAATTAAAAATGATAAACAAAGATCTCCCATGTGTAATTAGAAATTAGTATATAGTTAATTAGTTAATAGATTATATTATTTTAAATTTGAATCATGACTATTGTGTGTCTATCTAATGTATACTCGAATCTTTGGTAAGGTTATATCTAGTAGAATTCTATACGATTTTTGATTGGCACAGATCGTGCATTCTAGAGCACACGTCCAGTTTGACCTCTGGCCACAAATCAAAATACTTTGTAGCTAAATCCCCATCGCCACACCATTTTATACTCATGAACAAATACACAAGGTTAATTCAAACTCGGTCCCAAAAGTTTATACTATACATTTTTTATTTTTTTACTAGCTTTTATTAATTTTTAGTCAGTGACTGAGACATCTCGACAATTATTTTAAGTATCACAAAATTATTACAGTAAAAAAAGCAAATACAACTTCAGATTTAATGTTAATCATAAAAAAGAGGTTAGTACCTGGGAGGAATATCAAGGGATTTCAGATATTTTACATATTTTAACGTTTTCAAACGTTGACGATTATGTTCAGAAATACATTTTTTCGCGCAATTCACATTTTGAACCGGTGATGCCACTCAGCATTGACAGCCAATAATAAAATATATAAAACTACGATATAGAAGAAGTACCGGGCGGTGTATATGTATTAAAAAAGTGCGTTGATAATACTTATCCATTTTGTCATGTTGTGGAGTATTATATCAACAAAAATACAATGGATGCGAGAAGAAAACTAATAAAAAAGTATTTTATTCTATAAAGAGCTGTTTCTTAAAGTCTAAACAAAATAAAAAAATGGACACATGAATTTCTTACAACCCAACAACATACGCAGGCTCATGATTCCTACTATAAATTTCACTCCCGGACGAATTTGATGAACTTTTTCCATTGATTAAATGGCAGTAAAATATTAAACAAAATACAAATCCATAAAATCAGAGCAATGTAACAAGACGTATTTAATACGAATGAAATTGATCTCCCGATAAGTAAAGAACTAATTATGAATTATAATTATTACAAAAAAAAAGGATTATAATTATTATGAAAAAAGATTATAATTATTACAAAAAAGGATTATAATCATTATATTCATGCGCGCTATAGATTTCTTAAGACAATCTGTTATAACATAATATTGATGATAATTGATGGTTTTTTTTTCTGTACCTATCCATATTATAGTTTGTAAATATATTAAATATATTGAAATCTCGTAAGAACGTATAATATTCTTCGACTCTAATTGTGAAAAAAAACCAAATTTCGATTTCATTAAAAAATATTTAAATTGTACTACTATAATGTAAATAAATTAACACTCACCCGTTTGATGTCTGAGTAAAATAGTTATAAAAGTAATATGCAAGCAGGTACCTACTCATAATTCATATTTTGTGCTCAGAAAAAATTGCACGAGTTACATTTCAGTTAATTTATTATGTGTACAAACATTAATTAAATTACTTTTATATATTTTATTATATTTATGTATTACTTATTAAATATGAAACGCGTACCTATTTAATTAGAGTTGACATTATTATGAATTCTTTACAGGCTTACAGTACGTAGCTTACACATTATAGTGGTAATATAATTAAAATTATTTTATCATATTGTTATTGACTTAATTATTGTTTGTAATTCATGGCATTTGCATGTGGTTGCCTAATATGAATAACATTTTTATTATTCCCTTGTCGTGCCTTCGTATTTTTCAATCTACAAACGATGCAGTAACTATGTAATATCGTATTAGAGATACAATACTCTAAGGAGGGGGAAAGTATCCGTTTTAACTTAATAATTATCTATAATTTATAAATGTACGTAGTTAGAGTAAATAAG